TGTGATCGATTAAGAAGATATGTGAGCAAAGGGGAATTTTTCTTCAAGATTTTCTCTTGTACTCCGCCTTTAGCTCAAAAAAAAAAAAAGCCGCCCTATCTATTAGGTGATAAAGTAGTGTTATATCATAACAATATAATATAATATAGTTGTTATAGATTATTTTTTTAGTTAGGACAAAAATAATATTTAATCTAGTTAACACTTTCACATACAAAAAATAGCACATTTTTATTAAAATTAATTGACAAATATAAATAGTACATAAGATTACGTCTGTCAATTGTGTCAAGTAAAACAGATTCATATCGAGTTTTAACGAGTTTGTGTCTTAAAATAATTGACGCATAACCGATTCGTTTATTAATTTGTGTTTAACAAAACGTGACATATTGAGTTTGTGTCTTATATGAATCGTGTATAATCGGAATATAAACGAGTCATATTATGTATTTTTTTTTAATTGGCTTCACTTATATCCGATTTGGTTTATAATCATATAATGTCTACAAGTTTACGAAACGGGTGATTTAAGAAAGACTCAAATCATTTAATTTTGTATTGTATTCATGTCATGTATAACGGATCGTGTCATATTTTGACATCTTACATACAAAATGACAAATTTAAATCAATTTATGATCATTTAGGACAAGTGCACAATCGATTATCTAGCCAACAAGCATATTCGATTTAGACCAAACAATTAGAATACAAATCCAATTTGAATACTCCGATTCCGTTACCCCGGTATATTTCATTTTCAATGTCTATATTTGTACTCTTTAAAAATTGAAATTTAGTTTGATCAAAATTATTTAATTAATAACATAATCATATTCGGATTCGGATTCAGTTTAATTACATTATAATGGGTTCAGATTATTTGACCAAACTAGGTTTCGATATATCAAAATTTAAATGATTCGTACGCATTATAAATGATTCGTACTCAAATTCGAATATTCTAAAATAAACTTCGATCTATATTTAATTAATTAAATTTGAATTTATATACATGTTTGTATTCAGATCAAATATAAATTTTAATTCGATTTATTTATTTGCATGCTTATTTTAAGTACATGGAGGGTCAAGGTCCATAAAATAGTGTTGACCCTGATGATGCCAAAAATTGTCCTCCAAGCATCAAAAAGTGATAGCGGATGTCAGTTTGTTTAAGTTTTAAATTTAACGGTTTAAGAGTTTTCAATTCATCGATTTTGGCCAAAATTGATCGATTTTTTAATTTTTCAACGATTTAATTATACTAGCAATCTTTTTAGTGAACCGAATCGTTGGAGGACCTGGTTCACCAGTCTGACCCAACAGTCTAGTCCAGTTCTAATAACAGTGATTGACACAATTATAAGTGACAAACTTAAATTTGTCGCTAATACTTCATAGTTCATAAAAATAAGTGAGAAAAATAATTATTGACAAAAATATATTTATCACTAGTACATCATTGGTTTATGCAAAAAGTGACTTGGCGTTAGATCGCCACTAAATAATTGGTGTTAGATTGATTATTTAGTGTCAACGTTAAAAACTTGTTGGTAAAATGCTTCTCTCCAACACATTTTAGCACCAAAAATTTTTTGTCTCAAAATTAATTATAAAATTATTAGTGACAATTTCGAATTCATCACTAATAGCATCTTGGTTCATACCAACAGTGACTCAATCATTGCTAAGTCATCACTAAATAGTTGGGCGTAGATTACTTATTTATCAACAACATTAAAATAATTGTCGCTTAAATTCTTCCCTCCAATATATTTTTTGCGCCAAAAAAATTCTGCCCCCAAATTAGTGAGCAGATTATTAGCAACAATTTAAATTTTGTCAATAATACTACCTTGGTTCATAAAAATAGTTACTAATGGACAAGTCGTGACTAAAGAGTTTTCATTTGATTGATTATTTAGTGACGACATTAAATCAATTGTCACTAAAGTACTTCCCTTTTTTGTTTTTTTGGCGCCAAATTTCTCTCCCCTCAAATTTAGTGACAGAGTTAATATTGTTAGTAATAACACTCTATTTTATGAAATAAGTAACAATTTTTTTTAGCTTGCCACTAATTATTTTGGGTTAGTGGCCATTATATATTTCCGCCACTAAACATTAGGTTTTGGTGACGATATAAGTTCCGTCACTAATACTTTCGCCACTAACAATCTTGGAGGAAAGTGTATTTAATGATCATAAGCAAACTAATGAATATTCGGCGTAGCTCAATAAATGATTGCAGAGATCATTAAATGTTGAGATGATATGCATTGAATATTCGCCACTCCAAGATAACTAATCATTACACGGTTCGAGGAAGTTATAACAAAGACAGCTCAACAGTCAAAATAAAAAAGTTTGGGCTTTAGGCCTCATTTTTATGGAAGACCCCAAATTTTTAGGTACCTTAAATAACCTCTTTGAAAAAAATTAAATTCATAAATATTTTAAGCTCGACAAAAAGGCATCATAAAAACACATATTCAATCAAAAATAATTTAAATTCAATCATTTAGGGCCATAATTCAACCCAAACATTAAAAATCCCAAAAATTAAAAATTAAAAAAATTAATGGTAAAAAAAATTATAAAATTAAATCATTACTTACAAATCAATCTCTCTCTCTTAAGAAGCCAAGTTGGCCAACACCCAACAAAAAATGACCAATTATGTCGAAAGAGAAATTAGTTGGATTAATGATACTATTAATTGACAAAAAAATATGATAGCAAAATTTGAATATAAAACTTAATTAGTACTTTTTTATTTCAAAGGTAAAAATAAATTTATACTAAACATAAAAAATCTCATTATCTCATTTATAAATATTATTTTAAGTCTCAAATTATCTTGAACCGCCCTGAATTACAGCTCATTGGTAAATGTGATTATGAGGCTCCCCTCAATCGGCTTGATCGGACATCTATACCATCCTATGAAAGAATAAATACCCCATTGAATGGAGTCTTAGGTATGCATTCGTAGGTAATCTAGAACAATAAAAACCTTATCCTCCCTTTAAGTTCCTACGGACTTGAGCATTGGATGAGATAACTCAGACACGGCTTCGTCTCCGCCTCCCTTCCTGACTTTGTTTCTTATTGTAGGAACTAATCATTCAATTCTAATCGTGGATCAACTATCTCAATTGATTGCAGTAGCAGTTTACTATGATTTTTAACCTAAGACTTTTCATTTATTGAACTTGATTTATATATTTACAACTTTTTTAATTGTGATTTTAATTTGCACATAAAATTGATTTTTTATTTTTATAATAAGTTCTAATGTAAATGGATATATTAAGAGAGGGGGGGGGGGGGGGCTGGGGTCTCTAAAAAAAAATGTAAATGGATATAAATGTATAATATTATTTCTATTACTTTGAAAAAGATAAATTAAAAATTTTAGTTAAAACATACGATATCTATCTTCCAATGCTCACATTTTTGTATATTTGACAAATATTCAATTTATATTTTTTATCCCCTCTTTCAAATGTTAGACTCTTTTGGAGATGATATTCGGACTTGAGCTTGTTGAATTTTTTGGGCTATTACAACTACATTACGATGATGGATAAAATATCAAAATATACATATATTTATGGGGCTTTTGCGACAGTTGTATGACTTTGGATAAATCATATATAAACTATGAAACATGGATACTTTGACATACCCGTATCGAATATTGTATCAAATACGATACTCGTCGAATACTCGATAATACGTATCGAATATGTATCATCTATATATCATAATTAATAAAATATGTAGATACTTCACATATACTTCTAAACATGGAACAAGATATACAATTTTCAATTTCAAGCTATATCCTTTCCTTTGGAGTTCACATACAATATAAAATATCAAAAAAATTTCATCTAATTTAGAAGACACGATTGTGTTTTTTAAGTATTATCTATTATTACATGTTAAGAGAGTAAAAAAAAATAAGTCACTTGCACTATAATTCTAAAAATAAATATTTGTAAACAAACCAACTAGTTAAATATGGTTATGATTCCTTCAATTGGTCATGCTCATTTTATGAATATATCATAATGAGACGATATTACATTCTTTTCATGGTAAAAATTCCTAATTTTACTTACAAATGTTAAAGAATTATTGAAAAATTGTAATTTCTAAGTCGTTAAATAATAGTAAAATATAAAATATATTTTATTATAGACGTATTCTGGTCGTACTCCGTATCCTATTTTTTTAAGTTTTATCATATTGACGTATCCGTATCGTATCATATACATGTCACGTATTCATATCCATGCTTCCTAGTATATAAACTATTCATGTATCCCTTTATATGTATTCATAAAAAAAAATTACATGTTTTAAGTGGAGTGAAATTCGTGGGACTATTTACCCAAATATTTAATTAAGAATGTTAATTGTGTCGAGTCGTGTTATTTTTGTGTCGTGTCGCGTCACTTTTGATCGTGTTATTTTCGTGTCATGTCATTTTTTATATGTGTCGGGTTCATGTCAATATTCATCTTAATAAAAAATTATTTAATCTGACAACAACTCATATAACATTATTTAAAAAATTATAAAATTCCTATTTTATGTCTACAATATTCGTTAAATATTTATTTTCTATTTATAGTATCCGCTAATCTTGTTATTCATATCAAATCTTAATTTGATATATTTATTATCTGTGTCAATTAATTGTATTATTTTTGAATTTTGTGTTAAATTAAATTCGTATTAACCAATAAAATTGATAATTAACTAAAGGGGATTTACTTGTTTATTTGTAAATTTATTATTGGAAGATGACACTACGTATCAATAATACCGTGGTGGAACGTTACACCCAATATTTTCTCAAAAAAGGCGGGTTACTAAAATGACATGGGGACTTGCTTGTCATTTTATAAAATCACAGGGACATACGCGTGATTAGAATTAACGATGCTTAAAAAGGCGAAACCGCTGCCCACAGAGAGAACGAGAAAGAAAGGAGAGAGAAAAAGAGGGGAAATGATAGAGAGATTTTCCAGGAAAACTCAAACCTATACATACATATTTCTACCAATATCTCACCCTTCAACGTCCACGCTTCTCGCTGTGGATACCCATGTCGATCCAGTTATTAATTATACCATTTTCATTCAATCTGAAAAGCAAATAGAATCCATCAACCCCTTTTGTCTCACGCATGCTCATAAACCCCCAAAATACCCAGAAAACTATCAACAAAGAAAACAAACACCCAAAACCACCCTCAAAACCGCCTTGTTAACACCCTCTTCAATCCCAAACCACCCTTAAAACAGCCTACCCAATCCCCAGCACAGCCAAAACGTCCTTTATAGATTTTTTTTTTTGTTTGTCTACACTTCTTTTTTTTCTGGGGAATTTTCTTGGCAACCAATCAAAGGTGGTGTTTCATCCTTTTCTGTGAAAGGTAAAGGATGTTTGCTAATCTAAGCCGGTTGTGTTTGCTTCTGGGTAATTTTCTATGCTGCCAAACATAGGTGGTGTCTCATCCTTTTCTGTTAAGGGAGGGTGGTTGCTAACGTGAGCCGGGGTGTGTGTGCAGAAAAAGTTTGAAATTCGAAAGGCTTATTAGAGGAGGAGGAGGAGGTGGTGTGTGTAGGGTGTTTGTCATTTTCAATCGTGGCCTTACACGTGGAGCGTGAAGATGGGAGAAGAGTCCATGGTGGTGGGGCCCAATAGCACGAGGTGGGGCACGTGGGAGGAGCTAATCCTAGGTGGCGCTGTTTTGAGGCACGGTACCCAAGACTGGAACGTCGTCGCTTTAGAGCTTCAAGCCCGGACCATATACATTTTCACCCCAGAGGTCTAATAATTATTAATTATTCCATTATTTGTTTGCTCTTGTGTTTTAATCTTTTATTTAATTATAAAATATTATTTTTAAATTAGGTGTTTGCCTTGGTTGGAAGGTTATTGACCATACCTCTAGGAATATTATTAGTCATGTTTCCTTTAGTCTATTATTATATAATGACATTTTTTTGTGGGGCATAGCTAGATTTTGTGGGGTCATTATTTTTATGGAACGAAAAATAAGGACCAAGTGTCCCACTTTTATGCATTTAAAATTCAAAACTTTTTCGACCATAGTACCGTCACATCATTTGGTTTATGCTTTAGTACACCTTGACTTTGGTGTTATACTAGCAAAATAAGTACTCTCGTGTTCAACCTACATGTGCATGGTTGTTCATATAACTTGGTGGTTACATAATAGTATATGTTAAGTAACAATCAAATTAGATGAACTGCACATGAATATATTCTAGTTCTAGTGGGTGCACTTTGGTCACATCAATGTAATTTTGATTTTGGGGGTCACAAAGAGCTTTAATTATGCGAGGAATGTATGGCATAAAGTTAGATTACCCACTAAATGTGGGTATGGTAATCCTTTTCTTGCATTCCATTGGGTTTGGTTGCCAAACAGCATGCTGCATGATGTAAAACTTGTGAACATAGTTTTTAGTTTAGGCAATATAGTGATTTAATAGTTGTGGAGGCCGATTCAGTGTCTAAAGTGGTATAAGTGGGAACCAGACCATAAATTTCTGTAGGTGCTAACTTTGGAAATTGACTTGTGCCCAAAAAAAAAAATTGGAAACAGATACAATTTTGTATGCACCCTTAGGGTTCCTATCATAAGATAGAGTCTGGTGGTACAAAATATTGACTATTGTTAGCATATTGATGTGCCACCACCCTCCAAATTTGGTTATGTGCCACATGACTCGTGTGTGCACAGAGAGAGAGAGAGAGAGATGATTGAACATGAAGGTGGTAGATAAGTGGCAACAGAAAACTGTTTGATAACTAATTATCTTAACAACCCTTGTTTACTTTATTGGTTTGGCCTTCATATGGATGGTTATTTTGTGGTCACAAACAAAGACCAGTTTGGCTTGGGATGTTACTGCCACAAATAGTAATTGTTCACGGTTTTGTGCATTATGGACAAGTTGGCTCATAATCTGTGTATGCCCCCCCGTTATTTTGGACTATTTAATCAAACTGTTGAAGGCCTATTATTATTTAATCTTTGATGGAATTCAAAAATGACTATCTGGTAGTAATAAATTCGAGTTTCAACACCTAAAGAGATTATTGGAAAACCATTTATTGTTTCCCCCATTACAAAAAAAATTATTCATTACATTCAAACTATTGCATGTATCTTGAATAATTTTGTTACAGATGCAAAGATTGTGAATGTTTGCAAATTTATTTCAACTGCTCATTGCATGAAAAAATAGCTGCAAAATTTGGTGGTCAATTTCCAGCTCACGTTAATTTTCTGAATGAAGATAGTCTATCACTGATGATTTTTGTTTTAATCACCATCTGACACTTGGGTTCTGCAAACAATTTAGTTGGTGGTTTCGTTTCATATTGATTTCACTAAACCATGGCTCTATTCCCAGTTATTAGGTTTTTCTCATGTTTTCTATCAATCATAGTGGTATTTACTATGCCATCCTTGGGTTCTGTTTTCTTTCCTTCAGCATACATTTGACTTCTGTTTGATTGGAATTTAGTAGTTGGATAGGTTGGTTTTGTTTATGACATCATCTCCTAGCCATATTCATGACAGCACCCTACCGAAACTACCGACCCTATTGCCTAGCAGCTTATTTGGCCCAATACTGTGTTGCTGGTCATAACTCTTTGGCAAATCGTTATATGCTAACTTGTCATAGTGCAGTATCAATGTTAGGGAGACTTCCCTATAGTAAAGTCAATTTCATGCGGTGATTATGGTGATATGTGACTTGTGGAGATAGTTTGTATCCTACATTTAAAAATTATGGTCATCGAGTTTGTTTTATATGGTTGAGGGGGGCTCTCCACCCATAGCAATTTTCTTTGGGTTGGATGTTTTTGAAATAATATCTAAGTTGGATCTTGGGTGATCAGTGGACTAAGTCTTTCGTCATTTTGAATTTCCCTATATGTTTGTCTGTTAGTTGCAGTTCAGTTTGTTAGCCCACAAACAAGCTAAGTCGCACAGGCGGGAGGGTGTGAAGAGAGCTTATATCCCAATCAAAATATTATAGCTACCCAAATTTGATTTATATAGTTTAGGGGTGTCTTTACCTATTTGCTAACTGGGCATAAGTTGGATGCCTCTGCCATGACTAAATCTTATTTCATTATTTCTTGCCTATGATTGAATCCAAGTTTATTTTTCTGGCCTTGTCAAATTAACCAGAATCCATTTTTAATTGCAGGCCTGCAAAGCGAAGTATGAACAGTTGCAAAAGCATTATTCTGGATGCTCGTGAGTAGATTTTTCTCTTGAACTCATTTGATTTTGTATTTTGGCTACCTGATATAGATGGGGGGACATGTAGTGGGCATTGTTGATACAAGGTTGTTATCTAATGACAGTTCATCAACTAGTGGCATGTCTGCACCACTTCTTCCAAAATCTAGGCTCAAGTAAATCTGAGTCAGTAAATTGTTTTGGGATGAAGAATACAGATGAAAATAAGTAATTATTGGGACTCCCCTTCAGAAATCAACCTTACAACCTAATGATTTGCTTATAACCTTTACTCTTTAGTGTTTGGTTTGAAGAGCTACGAAAGCGACGAGTGGCAGAGTTGAAGCGGGATTTGGAGAAATCTGAAGACTCCATTGGGTTAGTAAATTCTTTACCTGGCTTTCAAGGTGCTGCTGGTTTCCTCTTGACTTTTTCTCTTTTCATTTTCCCTTTTTGAGATTCTGTAGGCTGGCTAATCATCTGAAGTTAAAAAGAAATGAATTTTTGGAAAAAGGATGGACATAGCCACAAAAGATAGTGTTGTAATATTGTATTATGAGCCTCAGAGCTACACTACCTTGGAAGAGCATGTCCTAGTAATATTTTGGTGAATGAATTGGTGTGATCTTGAGTAGAATCACTGCGTTAAGTTACTAGTTGATAATGCATACATCTGATTTATGTGTACCTATTTGTGCTCCTTGCTGTTCTTTACTACATGGTCCATAGAGATTGTTTTCCTTTGGCATTACATATAATCTCCATAGGCCTAACAATTGCACTAATTCATGTATTACAAAGTACTCAAAAGTTCAAAGCTTTATGTTTCAGGTCTCTTAAATCAAAGCTTGAAAGTCTTAAGACTGAGAGAGAGCATTATGATCAGGTTGAATATGGATCGAGTCAAACAGAATCACCTGTACCTATACTAAAATCTGAGGGCATTGAATTTTGGGTTAAAGAGACATCCAAAGATGGACTATCTGCTGGCAGCTTCACACAAGATGCCCAGACGAACTGGTCACTTGTATGTCAGATTCCACCAGTAGAATCAAATGCAGAGATGGAGAGAAAGCCTGAGTTTTCTGGATCTTGTGAACATGAGAATCTTTTATGCATAAAGAAGCCGGGGGAGGCTAATAATGAACAAGAAGGGCCTGTCCGGAAGAGGAGAGGTAAAAGAAAAAGGAAGGACTGTAAGAGGGCTGCCAAAGAAGGGAGCATTGGAGAGAGCGACAATGTGGGTTCAACCAATGTTGCTTCCACTTCACAATGCAAGGAAATTTCAGTTAGTGACTGTGGTCGAACTATCAGATCTTCTGGTCTAGACAGTGACAACAAAGATTCGTATGGGGTAAGAAGTGACGATTTGTTGGGGATTTTCTACTCTGTTGCTGTGAATGACAATGCCTTAGTATTTCGACATAAGCTCGATAGTCAGGTAATGTCAACATTTGTTGCTCCATGACTATAATCTTGCAAAAATCTTTGTAGTTTTATCTGTGGATTTAACTCATAATGATGATCCATAACAGAAGAGGGCAAGATACAGGAAGATCATCAAGCAGCACATGGATTTTGACACAATAAGATCAAGAATTGCAAGTGGCTCCATCAAATCAGCTGGAGAACTCTTCCGAGACTTGCTCTTGCTTGCCAACAATGCCCTGGTCTTCTACTCAAAAAGAACACGCGAATACAAAACTGCACTGGCCCTCAGAGACATTTTCATGAAAGCTAATCAGAAACGCTGCAAGGACACTGGCAACAAGGCTTCCTCTTCCATCCTATATATGTCACCATTGTGTAATCCTCCTGTGAAACCTCGGAGTTTTCGCCCTCACCCTTGTAAACGGACATTGTCAGCAAAGTTTCCAAATGCTGAGAATGTCACAACTGAAGCTCCACAAGGATATCAAAAACCAGTTAATGATGATTCCAATCTCTTACTGCAGTCCTTGGTGATGGTAAAGAAAGGCTTGGGTCGGCCCATGAAGATTGGACATGGAATAGCTAATCGACATAAAAATCCAATGAAGGACAGAAAAAGAGTTCGACAAAGGTGAATTGTGTCTATTAATTTCCTTCCATTTAGGTTCCACATTTGGTATTGTGCCCTTCATATGATCTTTTGTGTGTACAAAGTCTCTTTTCTGGGTGGTACCAACTGCATGATCTCATTGTGATGGTCAAATGAGCTGGGCTGTGGTTTTTAATATTCAAACAGAAATCATGAAAAAGCTCACAATTATGCAGATATCTGGAACTGTTCATTGTTGAGATTGTAATCTCTTTTTTTCTTGTAGGTTTGTTAATTCTAGACACGACATTGGAAGCTAATATGAATTGAGACGGAAGTAGTGTGTTTGGATTTTCCCGTAGTGGGTTTGAGAGGGACATAGATCAAATAGTTGAGTAGAGACTAATTTGGCTAAACACGAATATGTCTATACACGAATATAGATAGATTTGGTTTGAGTTGAGTAAATTCTAGCACTACATGATTTCAAACACGAGCACGACATAAATTTAACACAACATAACCAATTGTATTGAAATAAAAAAATTAAAATTAAGTTGCAATGTATGACAAATTTGAGTCCGGCAAACAAATTGGGATTTTTTAATTTTTTTGGGAGAACAAGGAGTGATAAACTTGTATGTAATTACTAGTTATGAATCGAAAAATTTGGAGAAATAGAAACATTGAACTTAGAGGTGGTAAATGGATAGATTGGATTGGTTATGTGTTATTTCAAGATAGGTCGGGTGTAAAATAAATTTGATCTGTTTTTCTACCCGTACTATTAATATTGTTTTGAACCAAACACTATTAATATTAATATTTTGAAATTAAGTCTAAAAATGATCATGCAAAAAAGAACAAAGAGTTGCTTTATGTCTGTCTCCATTCGTTTCTTTACCGAATAAACTGATTTACTGGTTTTGTCGCCGTGAAGTGGGCGTGGCCTTTTCTTCTCAGCCCAAGATGTTTAGGGATATGAAATGGCAAGCCCACTCACACTTTGGTGGGTTTTTAGTAGGGGTGTTAATAGGCCGAATTGTTCACGGGTTTCATATCTGGCCCGAAAAAATAGACCCAAAACCCAATAAGTCTAGTAGTTAGTGTGCCTTAGTTCGAGTCCAATATTCTTTAAGAGAGAGCTCAGGTCTACCCCAAACCCATTACTCGACCCAATAGCCTGTTTCAAAAAAATCAGTTAAAACCCAACCCAAGAACTTGCTCGCCCAGCCCAACCTAGCCTAGCCCAGTCAAAACATGGAAACAAGTCCCTCAATGCCAGAATTCGAAGTTTTATAAATTTAGATATTATAAATAATGCATTCTTTTATTTTTCATGTATTAAACATGCACGTTTTAAAAGGTAAAGTTATGCAAATAATAGATAGTTGGATAGATGCTAACATAGTTGAGATGTGCTCATTCTATTATGATGCAATTTCTTTTCGATTTATAAATAAAATTATTCATTATTTATTTTTTGTCAATTTTGACTGTACTTTTAATTTAAAAATATAATTTACAAAAAATATTAAGTGACAAAAATATTTATTATTTGTAAATGAAATTATATATAAAAAGCCCATACACTAGGCAGGCCCAATGATTGGTGGTTGGGTTGCAGGTAGCCTACTCTTACTCTACCCGTACCCAAAACCTGGTTCGGCACGCCTAATAATTCATCCGAATAAGAATTTGGGCTTATTCTAATTAGGTCTAGCCTGAAAAAAAATTTGCGGGCCGAGCCCAGCTTGGCCTATGCAGGTTTAGGGTTACCTATTTTTATTTATTTATTATAATATAGTCAGGGGATGTTCTGGCTAAAAAATATTAAATTCCTCGCATGGAGGGCACGTGCGCAACAGGACCCAGGTTTTCTGCTAGAAAGAAGTCAAAGAACCTGTCCTAATGCACTTCTTTTTCTATCATATGTATAATATAATCATCTAGGAGACTGCGACATATTATTTGGCTTCACATGCTGACTTTTAACATTACACCTCTCTAACCACCCCAACCTTCACCGGGTCTACCCAGAGAAAAATAATGTATGTAGTGTGTGTGTGTGTGTGAGAGAGAGAGAGAGAGAGAGAGAGAGAGATGGGATGGGGTTTGTTTATGTTTAGGGTCTGTTGATCTTTAGTTGGAATTATTTAATTCCACATGTGAGAGACAGAGAGTGTAATGCTTAAGGTTTGTTGAGATTACTTTATTATCATTTTAAAAGTAGTTCAAGTGTTAATAGAGATGAGTCGTAAAGTTAGACGTTCTGAATTAAAATTTTGATAACCCTCTGGGTCCTGAATTTAAATTTTGGTAATTCTTTGAGGTTGAGTCGTGAGGGATTTATCCTTCATGAATACCATAGTCCCGTGTAGATGACTTGTTTTTAACTAGACCGAAAAAGGGACTGACCGAGAAAGAGACTAGTCGAAGTGTGTGCAAACTAATCTAGACATCCTTAATTATTAAAAAAAAAATATTTTATTACAAATGTCATAGATACTAACATAAAATTTTATATTTATAAATTTGTGTGTATATATTAAACTATTTTGTAAAATAATCACTAAAGTTGAAATATCTTTTTTGTAGTGCAAACATGGGATCTGTCGGTCCATGCGTATGTTATAAATTTTCGTAACTAATTAAGGTTTGGACCATAGCTTTGGTGACAGCTCTCCATGACACAGCTCATGAAATGACTACTTTAATGTGCTTTATTCATTTCTTTCACCAACTATAGTTAGGCGTCAAGATAAATTTAAATGACTGGGTGGGCAATTGCCAATGCCATTTTGATCACTAGTGTTTGATTGTAACATGCTTAAATTGTTCTAAATTCTTTATGGGTGGTTGAGTGACTAATCTTGACCTCCGGTAATATAAAGATCTCGAGTTTGACATTTTTTATATTTTATAAAGTGCCTATCACCCTTTTTTATGAGGGAACAAATTTTAAATTCGCTTGAACTATGATGATTAGTATCCTAGTTCGAAGAAATAGTAAGTGTAAGCCTCAACACATTTAACAACATAAAAAAATTATTAAACTTTCATTATTCAGTATAACCCTTTTCTTTTCCTTTTTTTTCCTACAGGGTATCTAAATTTGTGTCGACTATTCTCTCGAGCTCAGTTGCTATTCACCGTGGCTTGAGTTAGGTTAGAATATGTCCCTAAAAAGATAAGGGTGATTAGCACTTAAGAGGTGTCGGAATAGATTGAATCTGATACTTCTAAATTACTAAAAATCAGACTCAATCACTATTATCATTATTCAATAAATTTTTAATATTGTTTATTAGAAAAAAATATTTTTATATTTGAAACTACTAATTTAATAATCAAAAAATCAAATTTTCTATCATTGCTCCAAACGACAAAGTATTTGTAGTGTTAATATGGGTGACCTAACCCAAACAAATAGATTTTTTTTTTTTCAGTTGCAGACTCTAGATTAACTACTTATCAAGAGTTTGAATTGGTGGAATTTGACAGGGTCCCTCAAAAGCCAAAATCATGGGCCATATAGTTGGAAAAATAAATGAATTTAAATTTCTATACGAGAATTAAGTTTGAATTTTAACTTAACTTCTGTAATTTGAGTCAACAAACTTTAAGAGCGGACAATGCTTAAATTGAAATGTATGAGTAGAAAGTCAAGTCGATTGATTTTACAACTCATTTAAATTAGGATTGAACTCTCAACATATCACGTGCCATTTGCATTACACCCCTAATATTGCTATGATATCCGATTTGCTACCATTGATAATATGTACTTTAAGCAGTTGGGTATGTTTACCTCTATGGAAATAATGGGGTCCAGTCCTTTGAATTTAAAATTTTCTTCGGTACATTTTCTTTTAACTTTTTTCGGACGTCAATTTTCCTATGAATTTAAGTAAAACCCATTATTTACTATGAATAACCCAAAATTGAGATAAATTTAAAAGAAGTGTGTTAGAGAAAATCTGAATTCTTCTATTTCACTGTCCCTCAGTTTTGGCATGGGATGGACCTATGCTCTTGACATTACATAACCCTTTCTCTTAAATACAATCGAGTCTAATTTTTTTTAAAAATATGAAAATCTATTATATATATGTGTAACCTATCAACTCAATCCGAAAAGAATCTCAAGGAATAGCTCAAACGGTAACGAGGATGAACTGTAAATTCAGATGTCCTAAATTTAAATTTTAGTAATTTTTTGGAGACAATCATGAGAGATTTAACCCTCATCAGTCATGAATACATTAGTTTCAAAGTGGATAATCTGTTTTTAGTTAGAATGTGAAGGAAATTAGTCGAAATATACGTAAATTAATCCGACACCTCTAACCGCTAAAAAAAAAAAAAAATCAATCCTAAAGAAGCAGTTTGGCCTGCTTACTTTTTCGGACAATTTGACGACACTTGTGTCCATCTTCACCTGCCCTGGGGATCTTGACAGTAACAGGCCTACAAGCATGAAAGCAATTAAAAATGGACCTAGTCACAAGCTTCACTACGTTGTCCAAAAGGCACACACGCTTGTCTTTGCCAATACAAATCACATGGTAGATGTGATCTTGAACTCAACATTCATACCATTCTAATTCTAGCAAATTTTTAAGATCTTAGCAATCTAACCACAAATATTCTAACTTGGCAAGATTAACTTATGATTCACCACTTACCCAAGTAGTATCGATGACAGTATCATAGTCTTCAACATAAATATCATCGAGGTTTCAAACGAGGCCACGAGATTTTTATTTGCACATTTTCTGAAAAATGACTATGGATGATTAATTTATCATGTATGTCTGTGTTTTAATTGTGTAGTAATGATGACGAAAATCTTGACAGTTATTTCTTGGTAATTCCACTTTGGTTAGGCAGTTAAGATTAGTCATAGAGACCATTCTAATTCTAGCCATTTTAAGACCTTAGCAATCTAAAAGATGAATTTACATTTGACCACTTACCCAAGTGGCATTGGTGGCGGTATCATAATCTTCATCACAAATTAGATCGAGGTTTCAACCGAGACCATGATCATGAGGTTTCTATTCGTACATTTTCTAAAAAATAACTATTGACGATTGCTTTTTTTTCTTTTTCAAATTTCGCAAGGAAGAAGAATCATGGTTTTTTTTTTTTCTTTGTAAGTCTTTATTGTATAGTTTAGGCAAACATTAAATGATAAACAATAATAATTATCAACATAGTACCAATGTAACGCACTATGGCATGCATTGGAAGGATAAAATCTCCATAAATTACTAAACACCGTGGTTGAGAAGGCAGTTTACAGTGGACCACTGGTCTAGACTCCATTATTCATTCAGTATTAAACCTTTGGTAAATGAGTCGGTGCTAAAATATTATTTTTCGGTGTAAGCTTGTACATCCTGTAGTAAAAAAAAATCAATAAAAACGTGTTATATTGTTCAAGTTTGACTTGTTTAAAAAACGAGTCAAACCCAAGCTGAACTTGAGTTACAGAGCCAGCCCTAATTCTAAGTACTTTGTCCAAGTTCGTGGATGTGAATTTCCCTCCAATATTTAGCATATGTCGATGGTAAACTCATAAATACTTCGTGTCCTAATTTTATTTATGTTTGGTGATGATCTAGCATTGAAGAAAAAATAAATTAGTGACAACTTTTTTATTAATGTCCCTTAGACCTAATATATGGACCGAATCAACCGCTAATTGTTGATAAATCTTACCTAATATTGGTACTCACATTTAGTCCGATTGAATTAGGTTGACAATAATAACAAATTAGATTTGCAAATTGGATTGGAATAATATAATTCAAATTTTTCATCCAATTTATAAAAAAAAAAAAACATCTTAAAAAGAAATAAATTAAAATTACAATAGCTAAATGGGTAAAATATCCTCTAACTTGAAAGCAAAATTTTAAAGATTGAGTTCTCTTGAGAGCTTGAACCCCCGAACACCATTTGAAGCCTTTACTAATCTTTATCTCTTATATACTAACTTTCTAAATTTGAATTTTGACAATCTTTTGAAATTAAACCTTGAAAGATTTATCTCTTATGAATACCTTGATTCTGTCGTGGATGATCTGTCTTGGATCAAACTGGAGAAGAGATTAGTCGAGATATGTGTAAGTTGACTCAGATACTCTAACCGTTGAACCAAAAAATAAAATCTTATCTCCACCCATTCATTACACATTGATAACAAAATTTGGATAGATTTTCCTTGTATGATTCTACATTAATGCAATTAAAATTGCTTAATACACGTACTAGAAGACATAAAATCATAAATTCGAAACCTAACTTCATTAAAGGTGGTGGTTACTATAGTGGATTAGAAAATTGAATGACTTTATTTTTTTGAGGTAAAATGTATATTTGGTCCTCAAACTATGCGTTTTGTGTCAGTTTGATCCTCGATATTTTAATTGGGTCTATTTGATCGTTGAACTTCTTAATTTGTGTCACTTTGGTCCAATAAAAAATGACAGTTTGAATTGATTAGCGGAGATATTCACGTGGCCCCTCAAATTTGTATCTTGTATCCAGTGTTTTAAAACCCGGCCCGGCCTGGCGGGTTGACCCGGTGAACCGGTCCCCTAACCGGGCCGATTTTGTAATTGGACCGTTTGAGCAAAGAACCCAGAATAAAACCGGTGAACCGGTGAAAACTGGATCGGGTTTACAAAACCGGCCGGTTTTGTTCCTTTAGTATAAATATGTTTTTTTTTTACATTTTTGTGTCTTTTTCTTTTCCCCTTCTGTTTTGCCCTAAATCCTAAATCATTCGTTCAGTGTTTGTTAACTTAAAAATTAAGTGAATACAATTAAGTGATTCAAGTTTGAGGGTGGAGGCTGGGCTGTTAATTGAATGCATTGATTTAGTAATTGAATGCAATTAAGTGATTCAGGTTTGATAACTTTGTTTGATTTAATATATATTAAACATGTTATTTTTATAACTATTTTAATTTTTTAGTCTATTTATCATCATTAATAATTATTTTTTATTTTTTTATTATATCACCGGTTCGACCAGTGACTCAGTGGTTGAACCAGAAATCCATTGACCCGGTCCCTTCTCCGGATTGGTGTCCGGGCCGGGTTTTAAAACTATGCTTGTATCATTTTGATCCTTCAAGTTTATAATTTGTGTCACTTTAATCCTTAAAATTTTCAAAGAATGTGCGTCAATTGTGATCACATGAGACGCACGTGACGATTCCCATTAGTAATTTCAATTGCCGTTTTTCAATTGGCCAAAAATGACACAAGTGATCATCTATAATATAAAATAAGTTATACTTCAATAAGTTTATTCGACGGTCTTAAATAGAATCATCTAACGACCACCAATATCTCTCTCGAACTATTTACATTGCGTCAAACCTTCAGATATAAGTTATCCCTAGTCTATTTACGTAATACATCACGATTTTAGGTTCAAAAATTATCTTGTACCAAGACTGTCTGGCACTTATCTTTTTTTAAGATTCTGAACAAGATATATATATATATAGTCTACATATTATAGATGTACTCTAAACATCAAAATTGTTCAAATATTACTTAAGATCAGAAGAATCTTCAACAAAAATCACACACATTCACTATGTCATATACTCATTAATGTACCATTCTTACCACATAACACCCTTAATACGAATCCAAAAGTGTAAGACATCTTTTAACACCCTTTGGTTTATGTGACAGTGCATTGTAAACATCTTTTAACTTTCATGGGACGGTAATAAGAATCCAAAAGTGTAAGACACATTGTTATTAGTAATAATTCTTCGTTAAAGATAATCTCTAATACAAAAAATTAAATATTAATTAAGTTAATTGCACTAAAAGTTCTCAAAAATATAGTTTAATTTATTTTGGTATCTAATATTTCAATTGCATCATTTTAATCCATGAAGTATTAAATATATCTCTATGTGGTTCTTCAAGCGGACAACATCCAAATTGTTAACAATTTTTTATTATAAACTTGTTACGTGATACTTAAAAAAAGGTAAAAAAATAATTTGGATAGTTCTTGACAAAAAATGTGTAAAATGAATAGCGCTTTGATGAAAATTTGGGTACAAATGTGGTCAATAGTTATCCAATTTTTTTTTTACCTATATTTAGGTATTGCATAACAAGTTTATAATTAAAAATCGTTAGTAATCTGGTCGCTCTCTACTTGAGGAACCACATAAAAATATATTCAATATTTAAAGGACTAAAGTGATGCAATTAAAATATTGATGATTAAAATGAGATAAATTCTATATTTTGGGGACTTCAGTGTAATTAACCCATATTAATTATACAATTTTATATTTTAAATAATAATTTCTTTTTATATTTTTTTTAATCTTGTAATTTATTAAAAATACAGTGGACAAAAAAATAAAAGATAAGCAAGAGAAAGAGAAAGAGAAAGAGAAAGGGAAAGAGAAAGAGATAAGTGTACATTGGTGTGGTTATGTGATATTGAGGAGCATATTTTGTGTCGAAAAGATGATGTTTAAACAATTTTTTTTTAAGAAAAAATAAATTTATACTGTTAAATAAAATAAATGAGCAATAGATTAATCTCGAATTTGTTTTTAGGGTAAATTCTATTTTGCTTTCTAAAATATATAAAAATTCTTAATTTATTTCTCAAACAATTACTTTTTTTACATTGCTCTTCAAAGAAATAAAAATATTATAATGTAGATTATCGTCTTATTTTTGTTTAGTCGTTCGTCTGTTTTGTGATTCTTAATGGTTGATTTGACATGAAATAGGCGATGAATTACATTGTAACATTTTTATTTTTTTGAGATAATAATGCAAAAAAATTAATTATTTAAGAGAAAATTAAAAAAATTTATATCTTTTGGGGGTAAAATGAAATTTTCCCTTTTTTTTATACGTGCGTATTTAATTAACGAAAATGTTGGATGAATGGGTTTTTCGGTGTGTGCTGGCGACCTTTTTGCGTGTCAAGTTGATACCAGCCGGAGACAGAGGGCGCATGCACAGCAAATCTCTCTCTCTCTCTCTCTTCGCTTAAAACGTGGAGCTTCCGACACTTCCGTCTGCGACTCTGTCTTTCTTGGCATCCCCCACTCTTTTCTCTCTCTCTCTCTCTCTCTCTCTATATGCCCGTACACATACATATATTTGTATAATTTTTGTTAGAGTGATAGCCGGAGGTGGATTCCGATTGGCGGAACTTTGTCGGAGCTTTATTTAAGTTGATATCCGGTCAATCGTTGATCAAGTTCAGCTCGTAATCGTCGAATCCTCGAGGTTCCTGTTCTTCAACCTCTGTTCTGCTTTTTATTGTGTTTCTCCAATTTCTGTTGGTGAAATGACGATTCAATACAAGATCCAGTGTGATATAAGTGAAACAAAAATCAAAATTTCTGGTTGATGAGCTCCTATTTTATTCCGAATTCACATGTTCTAAGTATAGGTGAAGATTAATTAGTTATAATTAATTGAATTTGTTAGTGATTGTGGTTTATTTATTTTCTCACTCTCTCTCTAAAATGCGCAAAGAGCTTCGTTATTGAAACCAAAGACATCATCTCTCTCGCTCTGCAGTTTGCTACACGAACAGATTCTGGATGTAGAGTTTGTTCTATTTGATGTGAAAATGCCCGTTCGATTTGTTGTTTCGGAGAAAATTACGGGTATTTTCCGGGAAAATAGTTCTGTTCTTATGGGAAAAGGTTTTTTTTTTTTTTGTTTTGTTTTGTGGGGGGAGGGGTTTGATAAGGGGGAGAATCTATGACTTGATTTTTGGTCTAAGAATAAAATTTTCGTGTCTGTTGCCAGTTAGGATATGAGAGTTTGAAAACCTGCTGTGATATTCTAGACATATCTAGGGCATGCTTTTATCACCAACGCCTCCCCCCTCTCTCAACACACACAGAGAGACAAACAAAAAGAAATTCTGGCACAAACAACACGCAGACACATGCATGCAACCTTTTTAAATGCTCGGTTCGTAAATACATTAGGAAACTATGAAATTAGAGTCTTTAGCTGTTAATTTGGGGTTAAATTTGAAAGTTCTGTAATTGGTGTTCAATTTTTTTCTTCAATCCTCTTTCTGTTTCTCACATGGAGCAGTATCAGCAAAACTTGTACTAGAAATTTTAGCTCAGTTATGTGTTCCCAATTTAATTATCACTTTTTGATATGGTTAATTAATTTTTTGTTTTTGGATTATTGTGTTGTCTTCTTGGAATGGCATTTTGTTCAGAACGAGAATTGCTATTAATCTCTGCTTTGTGTGCGCTGACTGCAGTTTGTTATGAGAATATATAACAACTGTGCTTGCCTATGAGGGCAACATTCAAATCATGGACATGGCTGTTGAAGAGACTATACATATTATTTGATGTGGTGCGTTCTTTGTTGTTAATTCGTTTATAGTTTGGTTTAGAAAATTTGATGGATGGAACTCATGGAAGTTTTAAAAAGGTCCCTAACCCTGTGCTTGGAAAAGCAGGGATCATGCAGAGTAAAGATGAAACAGCTGCCGTTCATGGGTGTTGTCTGTACAGTTATGTTGTTCATTGTATATAGAACCACAAAATATCAGTATCAACAAACAGAGGTATGGTATTTATGACTTTAATCGTGTGGCTATGGATGACCATGTCTTGGTGGAATCATGATTATTTTTGTTGGGCGTTTGCGGGAGAGGGGGTTATTTTGAATATAATCTGATAAAACACAGAACTCCCATTAAGAGAAAAATGGAATCTCTTGCTGTGTACAAAATGAATTTTGTAATTTAGTATAAACATTTCTTTCCTCCCCAACTAGATAGAAGCAGATAAACGGGAATTAATTCTAACTCCCACATGATGAAAAAAAGTAAAAGGTCCTGAGAAGAAAATGGTCCTATTTGACCACTCTCTGACAAGTAATACCATTTTTAATGTTGTATTATTTTTTTATCTTCACTGATGGCCTTGTGTTTCAATCAAGAATGGTTGCACACTTTGTCCAAATTTAGAAAAAGGGCCATAAAAATATTTCTTTTATGCTGATTATTTACCTGAAAATTTTGGGCCTGATTGGTTTGCATCCCAAAAAACAGTATCTGAAAATTATTTTTGAGAAGAGTTTTTAAAAAATTTTAGATTGCAAAACCTGTTTGGTTATATATTTTTAAAAATAGTTTTAAAAAACAAAAATCATAAAATTTGTTTGGACAATAATTCACAATTTCAACCTCTTCCACAAATCTCTGTAAATCCATGAGATTTGTTCACAAGTTTTATGTTTCTCGTTACAATTGCAATAGAACCTCTGAGTATGTAGTTATGTATGGAGAGAAAGAGATCAAGAACACACAATGTTTTTATTGTGTTCAACAATGGTGGTTTTCATTTTTCCGGGGGAATGAATAAGTGGTAGAGGGTGTAATAGAGACGACAATTACGACCGAAACTCATAACCACCACCAAAACTCACAATCACAACCACCCACAACCACCACCACCACCGACACACTGAACTAGATACGAAAGAGAGAGAATGCACTCACCCGTGTGTGTGTTCAAATCTGGAGAGGCAAAGTCGATTTAGAGAAGACGGTGGCTCTTTCTCTGTGTTCGTTTTGCCTGAGAGTCCAAGTGGAGAGAGAGAGAGTCGGGCATAGAGAAAGAAAAAAAAAAAAAAAGAGGAAGACTATAGAATTTTGATGTTGAGGGGATTCAAAGGGGAGACCTCATTAAAACCCCTTATTCTCCTTGTTTTCAAGATTTTCAGCATAAAGAGTTGAAAACAAGTCTAGATTGTTTTCTGTTTTTGTATTTCAAATTTTATTTTTTTCCCAAAAATTTGAGAACAAAAATGTTAAACAAACAAGTTTTGGGTATTTTTGAAATTTTGAGAACAAAAAACTGTTTTTCAGAAGATAAACAAACACGCCCCCTTAGAACTGTTTCCAAATGAGAGTTCTCATCACCTTGTAGTTCTTTTGTTCCAACTCATTTCCTGGTAATAAATTTTTAATTGCAAAAAAGCAAGACCATTCCAGCGGCCAACTTGAAACAGATTATTTGTAATTTAATGAGGTCATTTGTTTGTACTTTAGATGGCTTCCAATGGTTCCTTTTTCTTTCCCTTCCGTCTCTCATTGCCTTGTGTCAACTAATTTATTATTTTTTTCCCTTTCCGATCATCAGATGGAGTCACGATTGTATCCTTTTGACACATCAAAGGTAATAATACCAGTTTTGGCATCTGGGTGTATAAAAGTTTTCAGTTTTCTTTCTTCTTTTTCCATTTTAATACTCATCCTTTGCCTGCATGATACATGATATTTAGAACCTCTTATGTTTTCTTAGATTTTAAATTTGGGGTTTGCTAATCTATTCTACATGCATGGTGTTGATTATACAGTACAAATGCTCCTCATGTGATATTGTGTATTGCTATTATATAGATGTGAAAGTTCCTCATATATATTGTAACTGTTCTTGATGGTTTCATATAGGAATCTGGCATGGCTTTCACGAATTTGAATAGTTTGCCCCATGGTATCATTGAAGCTAGATCTGATTTGGAGTTAAAGCCTCTATGGTCAACAAGTAGTTCAAATTCAAAGGTTAGATTCTCATCCTGCTATACTCTATCATAATTTGTATATTTACCTTCAGTCATGTACTTATCATCTAAAGTTGTGCCACTTGTGCAAGTATTCTTTAGAGTTACATGATTTGGTCCATTTGGTTTTTTTCAATTATCAGATCAATTTATCCAGCCCTCATAACTTGCTGGCAATTCCAGTTGGAATTAAACAGAAGGATAACGTCGATATTATGGTTCAAAAGGTATGACAGATTATCAATGTCCGGAAATCGGGAGTTATAATATTTTATTAATGTTTGGCATGTCATAGCGTAATCTTTGCCTAATTGTGGTGAATTCAGTTTCTTTCAGAGAATTTCACAATTATTTTATTCCACTATGATGGCAATGTGAACGGGTGGCGGGACCTTGAGTGGAGTAAGAAGGCCATACATATTGTTGCTCTGAACCAAACAAAATGGTAAGACTGATAGTTCTGTAGAGTTTCTTGTCTTGAATATGCATGAATTGAAATTTAGGGTTATCCGGAAGCTGAGGATCAATATCAATGTAATCTTTTTTCAGGTTACTTGGGCTACATAGAGGTTTTTTTCTCAAGCTTTGCCTATAGTGCTACATTTAAATAAGGCTCTAAGAAATCAATTACTGACTATTGAGTTTCCTTTGCCCATTTTTGTTTCCTGCCTGTCCTTTAGAGTTTATGGTGGGGCATAGTATAATGGTCCTGAACTTTTAGTTGCTTGAAGGACTACATGGTTTAGAGTCATTTTACCAAATTCAAAATTTTCTGTTATGATTACCCTAGTGGAATTATTAAATGGAGGTCCTTATGTTTCCCTTTTTGATGTATACCTTTTTCTTAGGGGATTTCTAATCCTACTTGATAGGAAAACAATTTTAATCATTGTAGAGAACTTTTGGAGTGACAATGTTTTTTTTTTCAGGTGGTTTGCCAAACGTTTTCTACATCCGGCTGTTGTATCTATTTATGACTACCTATTTCTCTGGGATGAAGATTTGGGGGTGGAGAATTTTCACCCTGGAAGGTGCGTACTTTGTACTCGTGGGATATTCTTTATTTCACCTTCTTTGATCTTTGCTTCTTCTGGAAATGAATTCTTCATTCAAACAATCCTATATCCGCTGCACTGCCGTGGATTTAGAGTTTGTTACTTCTTTGCAAAACTGTCAGACATTGTAGCATACTTTTGCAATCATTTTCACTGTTTTGCTTTAATGATCCTTCTATATGTTTACTTTCTCATTATTATAAATTTATGGTGTGTTACTTTTCCAGCTCTCTAGTCTCTATGGCCCGTAAAGTGACAACGCATTCGCAGTTTATTTTTTCATTCTTTCAGCATGTAATCATACCTTCCAGATTGAGACATTTGATTCGGAACTAATATTTATGTGAATGTTTTGGCTGCAAATATGGGGTTTTGTGATTTGTACCATCAGGGTCATAAACTCTTCACAGAATCTACTGGTTAATTCCTAGCTCTCTCTTCTCAGATACTTGGAAATTGTGAAATCAGAAGGACTGGAGATCTCTCAACCAGCTTTAGACCCAAATTCCACTGGTATACACCACAGGATTACGATACGTAGAAGAACAAAGAAATTTCACAGGTGACTTTATTGTGTTCTGCAACTATACTATCACATCTCCACGTTTGGATTCTGTTGATGCTTATACTGACATAGTTTAATATAAGCAGAAGAGTCTATGATGTCAGAGGCAATGTCAAGTGTTCAGATACTAGTGAGGAGCCACCATGCACTGGGTTAGTTATCATATGATTTATATCCATAATATGCCATTTCTGGACCCTTTTATGTTTTTTATTCATTAGTTATTGATTTCATGTTTATATTTTGTTCTTCTCCTAATAACCTTCTGTCATCAAATTAACAGCAACATCATGACAATAGTGGTTTTTTCTGATAGGAAAGACCTTTAGCTTTTTGAAGAGCAATTACTTATGATATGTAAGGAACTTTTCTTTTCACTTAATCATGATGTGTAAAAATGAGTCGAGCTCCTGATGTTTGCAGATTTGTGGAAGGAATGGCTCCGGTATTTTCAAGATCAGCTTGGCATTGTGCTTGGCATCTTATACAGGTAAAGTAGACTGCTTCTTCCTTCTTAATATATTATCACTTAAGAATCAACATGTTAGGTGAACATTTTATAGATTTCATGGAAGCAAACATGATTCTTGTATATCGAGATTGCTGAGTCTCATTGTTTGGCATCTGAAGCTTTCAGTTGACAATGTTATCTCAATTGATCTCTCTGCTTTCAATAATTATAGAGAAAGTTGATTAATTGGTTATTAACAGGTAGGGAAAGTTGTGTACTCTCTGAATCGTGGCATTATGTGGTTATTTAGAGAATGTTATGCTTGCATACACAATCATTGATGTTTCACAGACAGGAAAGAGGATACCTTGCATGGAATTCATCCATCACTCCACTTAGCTTGTTCAGAGATTACTAATAAGTTTGGCCCCGGAGTTAATTAAAACCTATTTTAAGTAGATTTTACCTTTTAGGTGAACACTGAGTAATGCATTACCAAACACACTAGAAAATAAGTCAGTCACCATTTTCAATTTTAAACCGAACAGGGTTATCAAATCACCCATTCTTCCCCTTCTTATTGTGAAAATTAAGTTTTTGGTTTAGCATTAGGTTTCTTTTTCCAGTGCTAAACTTCATGTACTTGCCCATGGTTGGCAGTTGACTTGTTTATTTCAGGTCTGAACTTTACAGTAGCTTGAGCTTTTTTCTGACTTGTTGGAAGTCAATTCTCTTGCCCAATATAATCACCCATTCTTCCCCTTCTTATTGTGAAAATTAAGTTATTGGTTTAGGATTAGGTTCTTTTTGCAGTGCTAAACTTCATGTACTTGCCCATGGCAGTTGACTTGTTTATTTCAGGTCTGAACTTTGCAGTAGCTTGAGCTTTTTTCTGACTTGTTGGAAGTCAATTCTCTTGTCCAATATTTTTTGCATATTTGTCCTTCAGTGAAATTTATGTTTCCTAAGGTAGATGCATAAAAACAGATATCTAGGAGAATTACTTGGCAATTTTTGTTTTCGTCATTTTCTAATTTAACTCAACTCAGCAAAGTTTTACTTGCCTATTTTTTATTACCTATTGTTTTCTACTTCAACATATTTTTATGAAGCTGCCTATTCTGTCAGAATGATCTTGTCCATGGCTGGGGAATGGATATGAAACTTGGCTATTGTGCACAGGTGCGAGATAGTTGTACTTGCTTTCTAGCACTGTTGATTGTTTGGGCTGTTCTTTGCATTAAAGAGCTTTTCAATGAGATGAACCACAGAGGGTTTGTGTTTTAGACATCAATACCTATTTGTTAACACCGAGATGTTTATCTTATTTGTTTGGCTGGACATAGTATTTTATCATGCTAAACTGCAGATAGGAATTTTTTTTTTTTTTTACTTTTTCATTTTTATGGTTTAGAAGTGAAGGGAAATGCATGAAATGCAATAAAGTATTGAAGCTGACCAAGAAAAAGGCAAACCAACCTATGCCCACATTCCCCACCTAAGATAGATCTCATCCTGATCAAGAACACTGTCAACAAAATACTACTGATTGACATGGATTATGTATCCACAATGAATTCTCTGACATCGCCGGATTGGCATCTAGTACCTCCATTTCTGTCATCTCCCTCACCACTGGCATCAAACCCACTATGATCTCCTCGCATTATCATCACCACTACTGACATAATCTTATAAGCTAATCATGATGTTCCCCTTCCTGCACCAACTGTAATTGCCATCATTACAGATTTCGTAGTTACATTGCTTACATCATTTCCTGTAATGTACATTTAATTTGCATTTTTCTTTTCTTAAATTTGAGAGGGAATGCGTGTTCATGGGATTGTGTATTTAAAATTTATTCAGCCAGAGATGCAATCCTAGGTTTCATCACATAAATGGAGATGTTACCTAAAAATAGACTATATCTTTGGGCATTGGTTGTTCCAAATTGAAACTATGTCTAGCTTAGATGTTTATAATTGAAAGGATTGGCTCTTTGTTTTTCAGTTTTTCACTCTTGGTATTTAAACTTAAATAATAGGTCAGTACTATTTATCAAGCTGTGGGTTCAATTTAGTGACTTCAAATTTTATATATATAATTTTATTTGTTGAGATATTCATTACTTGCAGTATTTGTTTTGCAGTACTTCTAATTCTGAATAAAACTCGACTTTTTCAGGGGAACCGGATGAAGAACGTGGGAGTTATTGATAGTGAATATATTGTTCATCAGAGTATACAAACTTTGGGTGGGTCATCCGCAAGAAAGGTCATTTTCCCTTATTTTCCCCTCTTTTTTCTTGTTTGATATTTGATGTTGTTTGTCTTCTCTATCGATTGTTTCTGCTACCATCACATGGTATGATTACGTATCTTTGTTTAAATTTATTTGTGGTCGAAAAAGAAAGAAGAATTCTGGTGTTGAGTCTATTGCGTTTTTGCCTTCCTAGTATCCTGTTTGTTTAATTTTCTCTCATTAGTCAGTCACCATCTTGTGCTCTCACTCAGCAAAAAGAAAGTATACTGGGTTTGACATTCACTGCTCTGTTACTTGTTACTTTCTTTGGGCATATTTTCTCCCCCCTTTAATGTCCTAATTACAGATTGCCATTTGTATTGTCTTTGGAATACATAAAAAGTAGTGATACGTCAAAAAACTTTGATCTTTGGCAAAAAATAGTGCTGACACCTGCAAAATGTAGATTGACCTCTTCTGGGTATTACTCAATTTTTCATACGTTCTGTAGTCTTTCACTCAGTAATAGCGTATATAATTCTTGGGTTTCAAGCTATTTGGTTTACTATGCTTATTGCATACAATGATTAGGAGATATTGGTTAATGAACTAATATTGTGTCATTAAATAGCTGGTGTAGGACATCATGGTAGTAGGGGTGCAACTTGGGCGGGACAACCCAAAAAAATAGGGCTTGGGTTGAAGTTTTTAAAACTTGGGTTGGGTTTGGGCTGAAAAATCTCAACTCAAATTGAATTCGGACCATACTCGGGTTGAGGCTTCGGGTTCAACCCAAAACCAACCCAAATTACTAAAATCGGGCTTACTCGAATTCACAATTTGGGTTCAACCCGAAATTAATATATATATATATATGTTAGGTTTTTATTGAATTTAAGTTGGTCAAGCTATTCTATCATGCCTGAAATTGAACCCAAATTTCGAACTAGAATTCAACCCGAATTACGAGCCTGATTTGAGTCCGAATTAGTTAACTTGAACCAGCCTAAATTGAGCCTGAATTTTTAACTTGGGTTGAGTACCTCGGGTTGGAATTTGGGCTCGGGTTGGGTTAGGGTTGAAAGTTTTACAACATGGGTTGAGCCTAGGTTGATCCTTTAACCTGCCTGAGTTGCACCCCTAGGTATTACCAAATAATTGTATAGCATTCCAGTAAAGAGTAGTTCTAAGTAACAAATGAGAACCTTCAGCATCAGTTCTAAGTAACAAATGAGAACCTTCAGCATCACAAAGATGCATTTAATTGTTCGTATTGGTTCTTGTTATTGGAGTTAAAGGGAAGAGAGAAAAGAGAGAGTTGTTTAAATGAATAGGAATAGCAATGAGGATTAGGTGACCTTCTCTTCCTTTAAATATTGCTACGCCTACTTGTTCTCCATATTGATACCGGTGTTTCCTTTTGATGTTCAGAAGCAGCATGCTGTTGATGTGCGATCCGAGGTAAGACAACTGTCTGTAATATGCTGTCACCCTCATTAAAGTCTGTATCATTTTGAGGCATCCTTTTGAGTATTGAAATTTATTTTTGCATGGCTAAATTACATACAATTCCCCTAACTATTGTTTTTTTTTATTCTTGATGCTTCTTTTAAAACAAACTTTTATTCTTGTGTTTGAAAAATCGGTCAAAAAACATGGTTTGAACATATTTGCTTAAAAGGTTGCGGTTGCAACAGTGCGGATGTCTGATTGTTAGTTCTAAGCAGACTTTTGAGTTTTGAACTTTGAAACTACTATACATTTTGATTATGCATTTTAATTCTATTTTAACCTGTTTTCAGTTTCTTAAGATTTGAACATATTGCATATGCATGGGCACCTGTCTATGGAGCTACACATCATCTTCACTAATTCAATACATTGCTTGCCTTTATTTATCTTGATTGAGCAGATTAGGAGGCAATCGACATCAGAGCTTCAAAAATTTAAAGAGCGTTGGGAAAAAGCCGCGAAGGAGGACAAAAATTGGGTTGATCCATTCCGAAGCAGCCAAAGATGGAAACAACGGCGCCATCAAAGACATCATTCCAAAGGTGTAAGCTACCTTCAACGGACATCGTAGGTTGGATCCATTCATCGGCCTCAGTTTCTAGCATACCTTGTAATTTTAGTTTATTTCAGGTCCAATTAGTCTCATAATTATTTCATTACTCAAATATTTATGGTTTTTTTCTTTACCCATATCATAGCTGGTTGCTCTTTAGTCCCACCTGTTCTTCCTTCCTTCCTATAATGTTACACCCCTCCCCTAATCTTGTTTGCTTGATGCTTATAGACATTGAGGGAATTATTTTAGTACCATTTTTCGAAATGGGGGAGCTTTGTTTCGTAAAACGATATGGTGTATAGCATCAATTTAAAGATTATCTTTTTTCCTTTACTGGGATTTGGGTCGTGTGGCGATAAAACCATTAGTAAATTGGTGGAATCGGGAATATTTGGGGGAACTCGAAGGGGTAGCTCAAGTGATAACAAAGGCAAAATATAAATTTAGATGTCTTTAATTTGAATTTTAACAATACCTTAGGATTAGGGTATGAGAAATTTATCCCTCATGAATACTCTAGTTTCGGAGTGAATGATTTACCTTTGATGGAATTGAGGAGAAGATTAGTTGAGGTGTGCGTAAATTGGACTGGTCATGAAATTAGTTAGAGTGCGCATAAGCTAGTTTGAATATTACTAATCGTTGAACCAAAAAAAAAAATACTTGGGGGCATACATGTCACATTTTGTTCAAAAGAGAAGACTACATGGTTGTCTCCATCTGACCATAGGATCATTGTATGTGGTCTCTTTCAATGCATTTTCGTTTAATTTTTGTTTATTAATGGTAGACCATACACTGTCTTGATAAGAGCAAGAACTTGGTTGATGTATCAGTAGAACCATCTGTAAACTGGTGAAACTTGAAGTACATGGGTCCTTGTGGTTGTAAACCCAGGCATTCCTGACACATAAGCGTGGTTCGTAGATTTTAAAAATTTATAATTCCTCAATTAGTTCTATTTTTGTGCACGTGAGAGTTTTATGATCTCTTTTTAATTTAAATATTAGATAATACTAGTACATATATACATATATTCAAATATTTTTAAATGTTTAGTTGATGTGAGATTGAATTCCCACATAAAAAACACTATTTTAGTTAAAATATTCTAACATACTTAGCTTTCAAAATTGTGCCCTTAAAGAAGTTGGTTGTTGTGTTAACCTCCATGCTTGTTTTGCTGACGTTTGGACGATGGTTAAATTTATACAATGTATAGTTGAATTGTATTTTTGAATACCTTATTGTGATTAGGTTTAGGCGGTGGTGTAGGTGGTGGAAAAGGGGTTGATAGCTGGTAAGAGTAAAAATTTATGTAATTAGATAAATAATAAACAAAAATAAATTTATTATGGGATAATTGGATTAAGTAATTATTAAGGTTTTAAAAAAATGATTACTTTTTAAATTGTACTAATAGTACCAAATATTATTTAATAAACAAAAAAAATTAATATTTTATTTATTAATGTAATATATTTAGAAATTAAACATTTAAGTGTTAAATTTTAATCTATATATGAAATATATAGATTAAAAAAATAAATGAAAGATTGGATAAATTTGGAAAATATTTTTGGTATTTTGAGAATTATGATTGGTGACATCAACTTTGACTATTAACAAGTCTAACATCTGTTAATTGAAGAGAGTATGGTTGTTACAAGTTTTAAATGTCAAGGGAATTCGGTATTATTTTAAAAATGTGAGGGATGTTTGTGTAATAAAACTAAATATCAGGGGATGTGAATGTAATTTATTCAAATATTTATAGACAAGACACATTTCAAACCCACAGTACACATATTGTCCATCACAAGTTGAAATTAATACATTTGAAATTCAACTACTTTTGAACTACGAACTCTGTCGGCACAAAGTCAAAATCTTACACATTTCAAACTCACAATAGGCAGAAGTTTGAAACTTGGATTTATGAATTTGAATTTTTCGGCATTAATGTAAGAAAATTGTCTGTGAACCCCTGTTTAATTTGTATCTCAGAAATTACTTTTATGTTTTAACAGTTTTTAGGAGAAAAATTATTTAATCAGTTATTTTTTGTTTTTCGAAAATTTATAACAAAAAGTGCGCAGATTTAACAAGTTGCGACTATTTCGTGTTTTTAAAAATAATTTTTCTGAAATTTAGAAAACACTATCACCACACTTCCACCACCACCACCATATACTTGCACCTCCACATTTCCATCACTACCACAACTATTTCCATCACTACCATATTTTTATTTTCATGATTATTGTTCAAACAAGTTTTACTATTTTTTATTCAGTAAAATTATTTTTGAAATTATATAACCAAACAAATTCTATAACACAAAAAAACATTTTTTTAAAATACGCAAACCAAACATTAGAACCCCTAAAGGGGGTTTATACTGAGTAGTTTCAAGTTTAACATTTTTTATACTCCCTAAGACCACATTCAATCCTTATCTTTTTTTTAAAAAAAAAAATTTTAAAAAGATAGTGAAAAAACTCTTAAAAACTTTCTCTAATGTTAGATTCATATTCGTACCAAATGAAAGAAATTTTTTTTTTAAAATCCAAATCAAGGGAGACCTTTTTTTAAATTCAAATATTTAATTATGAGATTATACTCTCCTTTAAAGATTTAATTGTCATATTTTATCCTCTTTTAAATTTAAGTTTCTCTTCATTTAAAAGAGAGTTTGTCCATTGAAGATGTCTGCACCAAATTAAGTTTTTTTACCCAAATTTGGGTAAGAATTTAAATCTCCATTGAAGATACTGTAAAGATTAATCACCTTTATTCCTCAAAGATATTATTATAAATTGGATTATAATAATTAATATTAGGGATGATAGTAAACTGAATAAAAATGGGTATTCGTTTAAACTCATCACGTTTGGATGATGAACGTATACGGGAATATCCCGTATAAACCCGTGCAGAGATGAACTAACATTTATCCCCACTTTGTTCCGTCCAACTTTACCTGTTATTATTATTATTTATATATATATATATATATAATTACATACATGCATACATCAATCTACATCTTATTAAATTATTTTTTCTTTTAGAAATTGGTTTATTTTTTGATTTTTTTTAACGTTTTTATCTTATAAAAGTGTAGATCTTTGTGTTGTTATGTTATATTATGTTGTGTTGCATGATGTTGTGTTAGATTTACATGGGAGAAAAACTTTTAATTATATTATATTGAATTATGTTTGTAGATAAAAGTTTTAATTATATTATGTTGAATTATATTTGTAGATGACAAGATTTTAATTATGTTATAATATTCTATAATTACGTTGAATTTAGAATGTTAGATTTATTTAGAATTTTATATTATGTTGGCTTGGACTTTAACTTGGGTTGGGACAGGTAAGGTGGATGGGGGCGGGAGTGAAAGAGGGGGGCGGGTAGGGGCAGAGATTATAAATTTACCTGCGTACAAAGATGGAGATGAAAACTCTATATGTTAACGGGGGTGAACTGAAGACGGAGAAAATTTTTTTGAATGGATATGGGGATGAAAACTACACTCCCGCTTTCGCTTTAATACACTGTCATCCCTAATTAATATTGAAATTTTTGAATGAGTTATATAGTTAAAAAGACAAACAAAAGTGGGTCTTACAACTCCATTTTTTTAAATTAATGCTATAAAATTTAAAAAATTATAATTTATATGTATATTATTTATTAAATGAGTGAATTTCATTAATTATTTCAGTGACACCGTCTCGTCTCATCTCATATTCATCCAAAGTATAAAATCCATTGCTTATGTAACATTTTCGTTTTTTTTGTAATTCCCTCAAACTCAGCCGTCCCACACGGCTCGATTTATCCGGCCTTTTTCGTCTCAATTCCTCGGTCTTAGTACAACTGTACAAGAAATTTTGTCCTTTTACCGGACAAAAGTCGTCCATTTCAAAGCAAATAAGCTCACACACACTCACTCTCTGTAGAAATTCTTCCACCTTTTTCGCATTCACGTGTAATTTCTTCGAAGCCTCAAAGCTCTGGAGAGTTCTCTGTTTTTGAATTTCTTCGCTGTTAAGCTTCTCTCTCTCTCTGTGCATTACTATTCAGGTCTTAAAACTCTGCTGTCTATCTCAAGTTTGTGGTTTTAAAAGCCGACTGGTGAGGTTTCTCGATGGCCGGCCGTTACGATCCAAACCCTTTCGCCGAAGAAGACGAAGTTAATCCCTTTTCTGTAAGTTCCTCTCGCGATGTATATCCGTATTGGTTTACACATAGATAAATTTGAAGTTGATACTGAATTTAGCGGTTTTTAAGTATGTAATTTGAAGTTGATATTATGGGTTTTCGGGAAGGATTGATGGAGCTATTGGAGTGGAGTTTATGGATGATGATATAGTTTCGTTGGCTGTTGGATCTGTTTTATGTGCTTTTTAAATATTTTATTTATGATTCCTAGCTGAATTTTGTGTAATTTTTGCTTAGTTTGCCTGCAATTCGTAATTGGTTTTCGTTTCTGGCTGGGTTTGGTGTATAATTATAATAAACTGGAGTTTGAAAGGTCTTGAAATTGCAAAGAAACTGCTTGAGAAACGAGTGGCTGTGGGAGGGTGTCAGAGTTTCTTGGTACTGTCATGTTGTTGATGATTTGGCTAATTATTGTGTTCTTAAATGTCCGGAAGATGAGGTTAGGTAATTTTGTTCAAAATTATAGCGTTGATCTTTACATGCTTCAGATAGAAAGAAGGGGCATCTATATTCCTGTTTTTCAAAATACCATTTGAAGTGAGGTGAACCTGTAGTTTTGCACCACGAAGCATGGAGATAATGATCCTTTCTTATCAATTAAACCAGTCCCCTTACTTGAGTTCCTCCACTTTGTTTTAAACTTCAGTTCGACTTATTTTTTATATTAGTGGGCAATGATTCTTCTTCAGATATGCCAAGTCTATCTCATTTGTGATTTATTTTTCAGTTGTATGTGTACTTGCTGATTTTTGCTAGTCCGTTGAATTTCAATCTCTCTCTCTCGTATGAATAATCATCTTGTTGTACACATGGCTTAAGCATGCAGTACTATGGGCTTCCTGAGGCTGACTCTGTTGCATTTGCGTAAATTACATATTGGTGGAGAGATTGACATACTTATGTAACAGACTTACTATGTTGCAGCAGACATGTATATGTCTGAGCTACAAAGGCCCAAGAAAATATCTTGATGATACTTTGTTGATCCTTTTAAGTTGATGCACTAGTTTTCTTGTGTCTGTACGGGTGATAAAGGAGAAAACTCTATGGAATGATGGAATCTCTTTCTCATGCCACATTTTTATGTTTATGTGCTATACTTAGTTGCTTGACATATATCTGAACTCCATTTCTTGAACTTACTTCGACATATATATTTTGGCTATCAGGACCCAACTGTTAGAGAGAAACCATCAGTGCAGTCGAAATTTGGTGGAGGTCCATTTTATACAACTGTAAGTTTAATGGTTTGTTACTCTTTGAAATTGTCATTGAAATCATCATTTCCTCAGATTAACATTTTGAATGTCATCATGACCCAAAAATATAATGTGTGTTTTCTTGGTCACAACACATTTTGATGTTTAGAAAATATTTTCCATGAAAAGCCTAAGAGCCATTCATGAATAATTGTAAATCCAATTTAGTTAACTTAATGGGGCCAAAGTCTAAAAGGAGACTAAGGTAGTGTTTGATAAAACTGAAAGTTGAAGTCTGAAAGCTGAAAATTGAAGCATAAATTAGTAGAGTATTCAGTATCCACTGAAATTTAAGTACTGAATTGAATCAAACTGTTTGATAACTGCATAAATCTAACGTTTGAAAATAAATTAATTTTTAGTTTTATCCTTTCACGCCTTAATTTAAAAATATTTATAAAATATGCTACATTTAACATACATGGTAATATAATTAATTTAAGTTAAATTGATCACTTAAAGCTGTTAATTTTCATAAATTTTAAAAATTACAACTAGGATACAAATCAAGAGTTTAGTTGTCTTGCAATTTGTTTGCGCAAATTGAACATAAAAATTTGATCACAATAACTGAACAATAACAAATTGAATAACACAATAAGTAAACAATAATATCTGATAAAAAAAAAAAACTATAACTAATAAATAATCAAAAAATTTTGAAAAAAAAAAAGAACAATAACAGGCGTGTGTGTGTGTGTATATGTGCGTGTATAACTATGTGTGTGTGCGGTGCATGTGTCTGTGTAGTGCAGGCGCCTGTGTGTGTAATTATGTATGTATATTTTTGTTGGATAAGTCAAGAGAAAAAAAAAAGACGATAAGGAAGAAACTTACCTGTTACCCGCTGAAGAAGACAGTCGGTTAAGAGGATAGATATGTTAGGAGTTTTGAAAAGAAAATTAATTAGAGTTTTAATAGGATTGTAAAATATTTCGGGACATAATTATCATATTATAAATATTATTAAAAAGGTTTTGTTGAGCGTTTTCAGCTTTCAGAATTAAGGGATCTCCTACTTAGTATTGTAGCCTATTTTTAAGGAGCACATAACATATTAAGATATTTTAAATTTTGGTTATCAAACAGGCTTAATTAATAAGTGTGGAATACATTTATTTTAAGTGCTGAATTTAGGTTAACAAACACACCCTAAGTGTTCTTAGGTATGTAGGTCATTATCTTGTCCTAAGCTCTTGAAAGTGTAATGGATATCTCTTGATTCAATTTTGAAGTTTGAACTCCTCCCTTTCTTAAAACTTTCGGAACTTGAGTTTTGAAGTATCATGACTATGGACTTAGGTTGAGATTTACAACAAGAATTCATGAAATTAGCGAATTACAATGCAATTTCCTAACAGTTTTCAACTCGGCTTTAGGTGTTGTGACATTTTTGCTCTTTTTCATTTATTAAAGATATGTGTTTATGAAGAGTCTGCCATTTATTATTAGTGTTTCTTTTAGCTCAAATAAGTAGTAGTTGATTTTGGTTTTTTTGTGTGGCTACATATTAGAAAACTCTAGGACAAATAAGTAGTAGTTGAGTATTATCTATGGTTCAAGGTCACAGTATCAGCTATCAACTCGGAGAGTTCTAAGATACATCGATCTCGACATTGCGGCGCGGTATCGAGCGATACGACCTAAAAAAAATGTTGAATATGATGAAAGATTCAAGTCATACTGCATCATCCTAGAATTATATTGGCCAATTCGATGACGATATCTCAGCGACTTGGGACTGACTCCGATACAACTCGGACGACTCGAGGTTTATATATGTCGTATAACAATATCATCTCGAAAAGTGTTGAGTTGGATATGACTTGACCGACTTGTATCGGTATCTGTTGGTTTTACCCTTCTAAATTCATACATCAATTGTACGCCATCTTATTGACCATTTTTTCTCAAGAGATATTGTCTAAGTTCCTGTAATTTGAGACATTTTTATTTGAAAATCTACTTTTGAGATCTGTTTAACTTAGTTGAAGACTGTTGTAGATTCATAAAACAGAAAATATTATGTGCTCTCTTTTCATTTGATGTACCTTGCCTTTTCAAATGCAATTGGTGAGCATCAGCACTCAGCAGGCACACTTGATATCCTGTTTTGCCATTCCTGACAGTTTTGTGCACTAGAGTGTGTGGCTTGCATACCATTATGCTGCAATGCTATCTTTTCAACATGGATGAGTGGCATATCCCCACTCTCTTTCCCTTATTGTGTCTTGCATTTTAAGGATGGAAAGAGTAATATGTAAAGATATTGAACTACAGTGTAGTAATTAGAAATACCATGGATTTGCTTGGAATGGGAAATGACAGTATTTTCTCTGTTTAGTAAGTATTTCTTGGCAATAGCTTGGTTTATGTCATGCTCATTGATTCTTATTTATAAGGTTCTTTGTTGTTGTATATGGGACTCTTGTCTAAAGCTTCTGAAAAATTCCTAGATTCACAAAAAAAAAAAAACTACTTTTGAGTTTCTTGCTAGGACATAGCTGTTTTAGGAGTTTTTTTATGTCATATACATTTGATCTGCCTTAGAACATGAACTAGAAGGAGCCTCGTGCCATGGTTTAAGGTCACGGTATCGGTTATTGACTCGAAGAGTTCTGAGATACATCAGTCACGGTATTGCAGCGCGGTATCGGGCGATACAACCTAAAAGAAAACATTGAGCATGACAAGAAATTCAGGTCATACTGGGGAATCATGAAACTGTATTGGTCGATACGGTGACAATATCTCGATGACTCGATATTGATTCCGATATAACTTAGATGACTCGACCGAGTTGTCCGAAACTCGGTGTTTATATGTATCGTATAACAATATCATCTCAGAAGGTGTTGAGTTGGATACGACTCGTATCGGTATCAACTAATACTTTGAACCAAGTCTTGTGCGCACGGCTGTCCTTCACATATTTAAGCTGGGATTTAGACTTCTCCTGGTTTTTAGCCAAAAAAATGTTTGCTATTATTCCATTGTTTTGGAGGTTATACGCCAGTCAAATATAATGAATGAGTCTGTTAAATTATTTTGATAAAGCAAAGAACCTCTTGAGCATTAACGCGTATTTACATTGCTTTCATTATATTTTCTCCAGTATATAGTATATACTATCCTGAAATACTGTAGGTTTAAATAATTATTTTATCAGGATAATTTAGATTTGTTATTGACTTCTTTTCTGTGTAATGCTGAAGACTTGTTATTGGCTTCTTTATGCTATGTGGATGTTGTGTTTATGTTACATTTTATGTTCGTTGTCTTTCTATTTATTACCATGATACAGTAATGAAGTGCTTTTGTTATATGTTGATTGTTTGATTTCTTACCGGTTGAATGTGACAACCTTTTCCTAAACTCTTACATATACCATCATCATCTTGTTGGAGTTTTCAGACTGCTGGGAGTGTTCCTTCTGCACCAAACTCAAGGCTTTCACCTCTTCCTCCTGAACCTGCAGATTTCTATGATCATAATGCCACGGTTGATATTCCTCTTGATACATCTTCGGTAGGTGCAAATTTTAGTATCGATAAAACCATAGTGTCGCTGTTCGTCATCTGTATCTTCTTCTTATACTTATTTTGGTGCCTCTAAGTGAAGTCTATTGCAAAATCAGGATTTGAAAAAGAAACAGAAAGACTTGCAAGCTAAGGAGGCTGAATTGAGAAGGAGAGAACAGGTTTGTCATATGGAAAATGTTGACTTTTAGAAATTTCTGCAGCATTTTTGTGCTGTTGTTTTTCACTACTATCCTTAGTGTGAGTTGCTCAAAAAAAATTTATCTGGGCATCAGCCGGACTTTGACTTGGTGGTTATTCAAGAAACCCCATGGGGTTTTGTTTAGCATTTCGGTATCCTCTGCATCAAAACCTTAATATAAATGAAGAAAAAGAAGCAGAAAGCTTGTGAAATTTTCGTATGATTCGTCTTCCTTGAATGTTTATTACTATTTCAAGCACCACAATCTATGATATTTTGTGGTGGTTGCCAGCGAGGAGATGTAACCATGCACATAGCCATAATAAAGTCCAAGTTAATTGTGAGTTGGTTTATGCGAAGAGAGTTATCCCACATCGAAAAATTAAGTAGACCCAAGGTTTGTTTATAAACTTGACGGGTTACTTCACCCACTCCCAATTAATTTTGGTTTGGATGCTATAACTAGGTATCAAAGATGGGCCTTTCGTAGTTGGTGGTGGGCTAAGTCTCTCCTAGTTGAATTCCCCAATTTATCAGTTTGTTTCGGTTCAACTCCAATCTGTTTATCTGTCTATTTCAGTTTGGCTTGTTAGCCCACGTGCGAGTCTAGGTTGCACATGAGGGAGGGTGTGAAGAGAGCTATCCCACAACAGAAAATTAAGTAGACCAAAGGTTGGTTTATATATTTGAGGGGTTACTCCACCCATTGCCAATTAGTTTTGGGTTAGTTTTAAAAAAAAAATTAGGATGTCATTGCATGTTGTAATCTATGGAGCAGTTTCTTTGGTCAAAAAGTTCTACTGTATGTTTACCTATCGTCTATGTTAATGTTTAAAGTCAATGGCTATGATATAAAGAGTGGTAGTTTCTCCAACCTAGACATTTCTCTCATTTCTGTCTAAATGTTTAGTTTCTTTTAGAATGCTTGGTTATTTCCTTTGTAATAAAGGGGGGACACTAGTGAGATAAAAGGTGTCCAATTTGACTAGTCAACTTAGCTCAACAAAGCCCATTTGGAATGGGCCACATGAATTCTTCTTCATTATCCCACTTTTTCTAGATATTTGATTAAGTCATACACTACTGTCTCTCCTGTCATCCCACTTTATGCAAGTTCTGATCTCCTGATTTGGTATCATATAAACGTGCCCTTATCATGGCTTTCTTATTTGGCTTTTGATACAATGCAGGAAGTGAAACGGAAAGAAGAGGCTGTGGCACGAGGTGTTTTTTCTTGTTCTTTACTTATGTCCCAATCAATCTTTCCCTTTCCCCTTTGGTCAAATTTATACACGTCAAACACTTGTGTCTGTTAGACCTGTACTAGTACTAGTAATCTAATTTCTATTTCCTGCTACATGGGGATGCAAATTCCCTTTGTTTTTTTCAGATTGAGCTCCAGACAAATAGAAAGGCATTTAAACTTTCATAGTAGATGCTTTTCTCTTTTTTCATGTTGGCTAGCATAGTTGTGCATTCTTATGTGCAACTTGTTTTCTTTTCTCCCTTTTTTGTCTCTTTTTCTTCTTCTGGGGGAAGTTGGTCACATAATATAGCCGAGGTGTCCCAGCTTCACAAAACCACTTAGGGCAAAATGCAAATTCAGTTTCCTTGGTGTCTCACGTCCCATTAGTTTTGAATAACTTACACATTGAGTTCTCTCTTTGTGCAGCTGGTATTGTTCTTGAGGAGAAAAATTGGCCACCGTTTTTCCCAATTATCCATCATGATATCGCGAATGACATACCAATTCATCTACAGAGAATGCAGTATGTTGCATTTTCGACGCTGTTGGGTATGTCAACCTTTGCTTTAATGTATAGAAGTTTGATTCTTTAAAAAGATGGACCTTTTTCTTTTTCTACATGCAACTCTTCATATGCAAGTTCTTCATCATACTTGTTAATGTGGTAAGTGGTAACTAGGCATTTAATTTTATATTGATGTTATATTATTTCTCTTTTCTAGTGGAATCAATTTGTGTTTTTTTTCCTTTTTAGTCTAAGAGATCAGGGTAGAAAACCAACTATGAGGACATAATGCCCATGGACTGGCACAAATTTTTTGTCAGTTTGATATTACCTGATAAGTTGTGTACTATTGCATGTAGTGCATGATAGCAAATATAGTGAGATAATCAAAAACTCATCCCCTATATCCTAGAGCAACTACATTGCTAGTTTGGATAAAGGTATCTTTGCTGAATTATCTGCTCTCTCCACTCTCCGGTCAAAAAATATTGATGCTGGTATAATGAGTGGAAGAGTGATTACAAAGGTGCCTTGCATTGGATCATTTGTTTGAAGAGATTAGGCAATCCGCAACCAAAAAGTTTTGTATTTGTGGGATAGATTGGGTTGGTCATTTCATTATCATTTAACTGCTGGGTTTATATTTGAAGCTGCTTCCGCATAAACCTTTGAAGATTTCCTCCTCTTAGAGTTAATGAATGCTGATGTTGAGCAGGGTTGTTTGGGTGTCTTTTCTGGAATATTATAGCCACTACTACAGCATGGATTAGAGGAGAAGGTTCGCGTGGAATAATTTAGGATCCAACTATACCTTTTCTGCTTACGTTACGTCTTTTGCCATTGGGATTGATGTCCTCTTGTATTTTTTGTCTTTTGGTTTAGGCCCAAAAATCTGGTTCCTTTCTCTCATCTACTTCATAGCTGGGGTTCCAGGAGCCTATGCATTATGGTATAGTCCACTCTATCGTGCTTGTAGGTACGTATATTTATATTTGGAAAATTTGATTTGCCCATGTATTGTCAAAGCTGATGTATTCTGGATCCTATGAATCATGTGGGAGATCCGTGACATCCAAGCTGCAATTTAATGAAATTGTATGTTTGAAACCTTAGCGTAATGAATGTGTTGGCTATCTGGGATGAGATTAGTTTTCTTGGATGTATTGGAATGTCATGTAATGTAAGGAAAGACATCTGAATTTTCTCAAAGTTTGTTCTTATCTGATTTTCATCATAATGGGATTTGAGTCATACATATTGTGGATCATCTTGACAAGATACATCATGGGATTCTGTTAACTGTGCTTATGCATCAAGTTTATTTGTTATGCCCAAAACAATTCAATTTTAATTACCATCACAAACTTGTTGCAGGTCTGAGAGTGCGATCAGGTTTGGGTGGTTTTTCCTGTTTTACTTGGTAAGTTTCTTCATTTGTGTTGATCTGCAATCTTCTTCATCTTATCCCAGAGATGCCTCAGTTTTTTGGCCTTACCCACAGATTCACATTGTCTTCTGCATCTTTGCTGCGGTTGCTCCTCCTATAGTTTTCAAAGGAAAATCTCTTACGTGAGTTCCTGTTTTAGATTTGCACTTATTTTAATCCATTTTTTTTTTCCATTTCACTCAGCCCTAATGAAAATAGCTATATATTCCATTTCCTTGCTAGTTGGTTAGACTTCCCTTCCTCAAGTCAATTACTTTGAGGCCGATATCAACAAGAGTAGGATTGTTGACAACTCTTTTTATAATGTTATCTAGGAATTGATCCTCTATCATACATAACTGGTTAAATTATATGGTTTGTGTTCTCATAAATTTTGGATCTCCTTCCCTGCAAATGATTTAGCCTTTCGCGGTCCTTTGTAACAGAGGTATCTTGCCTGCTATAGATCTCATTGGCAAGCACGCTTTAGTTGGGGTAAGCTTAAATCCCTGATCTATTGTTTTTTTTAGCCATATTTCTTTTGTACCATCTTCTGAGTTGACAGTAATAAGATCTATGCAATGCGTTTAGATTTTTTATCGTCAGGTTATGTTGGTTTTTGAAATGGTGGGAGGTTTAATCTCTAGACGATTATGCACATTAAATACTGGAATTTTCCTTGTATCCATGCTAATTGATTTCATTTTGTGTAGATTTTCTACTTCGTTGGATTCGGCCTATTCTGTATTGAGTCAGTGCTCAGCATCTGGGTCATTCAGGTCCTTGTTTTTAACTTCATATTCTCATTTATCCTCACATAAGCGCCGAGAAAAATTGCTGCAAGCACCATGGCTTCTTATTCTTTTGGTCTGTTTAACTCTGTTTTCTCTCTCGTCATGCAGCACGTATACATGTACTTCCGAGGCAGTGGGAAAGCTGCAGAGATGAAGCGTGAGGCTGCAAGAGGAGCGTTAAGAGCGACTATATGATGGTCGGACCCGATCAAAGCCAGTGACTGGTTTAGTGTGGATCTTGGTTTGGTGTGATCCAAGAACAAGATATTGTTCGCTTGAGATGGGCTTTACCTGTTCAATAGCTTGTTTGAGTATTCATTATTGTTATGTATTTTGTGTACTATGGTTTAGTGGAACAACTTGGGGAACGACTGTTAAGGTAGAAACAAGACAATGTATCTGTTTTGTTTTAGAAGCTGATTTGATTTGTCTGTAAATCTGTGTTATTGACATTTAGGTTGTTTTTATTCAATCTGGTTTCATCGGAAAACTTCGATTTTGTACATTTTCATCTGTGTTTATCCTATGGAAACCGTGAATCTAACACTAAGTTTAAGTTTAATCTTAATGTTAAGTCTAATAATGCATTATTTTTAAATTGAACTCGCACTCATTTTTTTATAAATTAAAAATTAACTTAATAAATATAATAATAATAATAATAAAATCATTTTTTGTACAAGGATTATGTCAATGGTTGAGAAAGCATAATAAAAATTGACATTTTATTCTTATAATATTAGTTAAATGTGTTAATCATATCAATTTCGTATTATTCGTGTCGACTTATTTATTATTCGTGTTAACAGGTTATATCATTTGCAAATTTGTGTCGAGAAATAGTCAAACTAGAGCTCGTAAAATTTGACTCAATTGACAGCCCTATCTGTGGGCATCTGGAACGTCTACAGAAATACAACTGTTTCACTTTGTTTTCTGTAGTCTTTAGTAACAAAAAATCCAAGTGGTTTACAATAATTTTTTAGCATAACAGTAATAAGAACATATATAAAAGGGTTTATATAACAGCACAAAATGATTCCATTTCCTAATCATATTGACCACAGTTACAGTATACTAATGCTCTATCGATTTTGGGTTGTGATATTCATTCAAACCATGACTTTTTTTTGATAGACAGGGATACTTTTACACCACACCACGGGGAGGGGAGACTTGAACCATCAACCAGCCACTCCATTATAGAGGGCTCCAACCATCAGGGTAGGACTCCGGTCCTATTAAAACCATGATTCAAAAGCCAACAATAGTTATTGCTTCTTTTAATAAGATTGAAGGCCTGAATTCTTTGGCTTTGTACAGAAAACATCATAGGCTAGAGGAGTTCCAGCTAGCATCAACAGCCCCGACAATCTTTCCATGTAGTTTGGCTCCAGCACAAGCAATTATTCCTCGATCAAGACCTTCTAAGTAGACACCTTTCGAAAAGTCCAGTGGATGCCCTCCAGCATCAGTTACAACACCACCAGCCTCTTCAATAATAACAACACCAGCTGCGTGATCCCATATCTTCTCCTTGTAGCCAGCCCTAGCAAACTTCATGAATATCTCAGCATCACCACGGGCTATGGCTGCATACTTCACCATGCTGTATAAGCGTAATGGTTGGTTCCTGTGGGTGAAACATGATATGTGAGCTCTATGCAAATGCAAATGCTTCATTCTTTCTTCCTTTTTTCTGTTTTTTTTCCTCACTTTCCCTGTTTGATAACTCGTAGCTGTCTATGATGGCATAAGGACTATAGTTCATCTTTTATTCTCCATATCTTTTTACAAGACATCACACATTTTTTTCACTGTCCAAAAACAAACTGCATACAAAATTTGAAAAGATAAGGTGACGTAAGTGAACCTCATTTCTATCACAGCCACCATTCCTTTGCAGGACAAAACCAAATTGAAAAGGCAGAGTTGGGTTTTCTCAAAAGAAAGAGGAAAGAGGAAAGAGAAAAGATATGCACCTAAGCCCAACGCTATGAGCTAGTCCTGCTGTGAAGGAATGGCTTGAATTTGCTTTCTCAACTGGTTCACAAAAAGTTGCCAATTTTGGGTTATCAATTGAGGACACTTGGATTTGCCTTGCAGAGTTTGGCCACACAAGCTTCTTTTCTGCCTGGGGTAATGGTTGCATCCAAGCCTTGCCACTACCTCTCCTGGCGTAAATCACACAACCTGTATCCCAAGATCCAGATGCTGGTGAGGTTAACTTAGATAGCATTCTACGGTAGCCATTCTGATAACTTAGCCATTCTTTCTTCATTGGGTAATTGGGGCACCCGAGAACTCCAAGCACAGGTTCTCCATCCTCTATTAATGCCAGAGCAACTGCATACTGATCCCCACGTACAAACCCCAATGTGCCATCAATAGGATCAAGTACCCAAAATCTTCCAGTGGGACCCCCTGTTGAGTTGCAGCGACTGATGGCCTCAAGAACCTCTGTAGTTCCAAGAGGCATTAATGGACCATTAAGCCCAAAACGCGGTGCTTCAGCCCGACATTCATTAACTGTTCTCACCACAGCTTCAAGTATGCCAGCTGCATCAACCTTGGAGAGTGCATGAACATCTTCTTCAGCAACAACGGAGACATTTTGACTCCCAAAAGATTCTGACAGTACCCAACTTATAGTTGCTTGCACGCTCCAATCTGTTTAAAAGTTGAAATCAAAAGTATTAGCTAACCTAGCATGACATGTTTGTAAAATGTCATTCGTCTCATCTTGAAAGAAACTATATTTGACCTTTATAGATTTAACAGAGTATAAAGAAGGACAACATCTCTAATTTATTGGGTTATTTAAACTGTATGAAGTGAGAGATTTATAGCATATTGACTCCAGGAACAACTGGCTCACTTAAGCAGAGCTCTTGCTTATCTTTGTAAATACATGTTTCTGAGCACACACAGAGCTTTGTTGGTGGAATTGTCCTTGAGATAGAGGTTGAGAGTCCAAAGCATAGGGATAGAATGACAAGGGTCAGGGGGTTCTTCTACTACATGAACAAAAAGGTGGGGATATACTAGGTCTAGCAAAACAGAAGTATATAAATCCAAGATCCATTATAGATTACAAGAGATTATTTCTCAGTGAGGCATTTTCGTTAGTATAAACATAAGGCAAGAAAAGGCTCAAAACAATTTGTATTGCTTTAAGCCATGAAACAGCAGTTTAGCTAGAAAAGCAAACCGGGAATGATATTATGAAGTGAAAGGCCGTGTCATAAACCTATTGAGATGACACTAGATTATATTGAAGATAATAGCACAACATGCAGCTTTCAATAACTCGCCATAATTTAAATTGATCCAGTAAGCAGCCCATAAATCCTATATAGCAAAACTGACCCACAGGGATGAGGAAAGTGAAAAGTCAAGAGTCTAGAACATACCCACAAGAAGTCCTAAGATTCTGCTTACCAGGAAAATTTCTAGTTCTGTTGCAAATTAAGAATAACCAAATCTGAGTTTATGTAGGACCACAGTTAAGTAAAATCCAGCTACTGGCCTCATTAGACTATTAGTTACCATTGTCTCTCACTTCCACAAAGTTTAACAGCAAAACGCCATTTAGTGCACCTTTTATGGCACTGTTGCTTATTATATATTTTGGCGTCACAACCGAAAACATCCGTTCATTACTTGTGTATTATGCCCAACTGGATTCATGCCTCTTTTGGCTCAACCAAATGTTAGAAGTAAACAGGTGCTTCTTAGACCCGAGTTCGAGCTACCTTCATATTATACTCGTTCTACGTTACTTGGGACTGTTGTGTTCACAAGGTCGTTCTACTGTACTTGGGACTATTGTGTTCACAAGGTCAATCGCATCCTGTTAGACCCTGGTTCGTCAGTCAGCCGGTCAGTCTTCTGCCCCTGCGACCCCTCAAAGGGAGCCAACCAAAGCAGAATTGAAGGCCAAGATGTTCCCCTAGATAAGCCAAATATTGCAATTTTGGCAGATTCTTTAGATCTGGATAGAGTCTCGCTCAGTAAAGGGAGTTGACCACTTAAATGGGAACTAGTGGCGACTAGTAGATCAATACTAGATATAAACTATTACTTTATTGAATTAGATAAAACAAAAATTGCCTGAAAGATACACATTCCTAATTTTCTTGGCAACTTTTAAGGAAAATTTTCTGTTTTATGTTTTTTTCACTGCCCACCAAATCATGTCACTTGTCTTCCATCATCTTACACAATTCAGTATCATAAACCAATCTGAAAATATAAGGGTGAACTAGGAGCACTTCAAATAACACCCTTCTAAGGTTTTTTCCCCTTCATTTTTTTTTGGAGAGAGAGATAGAGAGAGTTCTTTTTACTCTTTTCTTTCCTAATTAGGAAAGTTAACCTCATCACCCAAACTCAAATTCGTAATCATTGTCAGCCATATCCCTCAGCTCCAAATTCACAAGTTTAAATTTCATCAATACCCAGACATTTTAACTCAAAGCCAAGTGAATGAACAACTTTTAGGGAGAATTTGAATTTACCCACAAAAGATGACGAATCAAGTCACCAATCAACAACAACCCAATTCAAGAAAAATACCAAATGAAGAAAATAATTAACAAAATACCAGCAATTGTGACAGGAGAATTGTCATCCTTGGATTGGACTTGTTCATTGCTGTTAGAAATCAGATTTTCTTGGACTCTCTGACAGAGCAAACATGCCAATTGTACTGCTCTCACAGCAACTTCCAATTCCTTGGAGTACATTTCCGTTTCAGAAGAGCTAATCTCCAACATGTTCGCTCCCTTAATTGTTGAAGAAAAACGAGATTTAAAGCACTTTGACAGAGATAGAAATGGGTATGGTGAACTCTGGCGACAATTACTATGGTGATGGAAGATGAAGAAACCTCCTAGCTTGGGTGGCGTCAAATTATTCTTTATACTCGGGACCAAGGCATGTGGGACTCTGGTGGTCAATCTTGCACAAAACGAAGGCATTTTATAGAACCTCTCTCTCTGATTTGGGTGTTTGTGGAAGGGTATCGAGAGAGACTGCTTGAGAGAATTGAATGGGGCCCTATGTGGCCGTACATATATATCTTTTTATTGGATTAATTACACAATGTTCCTTTCAATTTTTGGATAATTGCCATTCATTCTTTTAAATTTTAATTTCAACAAATAACGCCATTTAAGTTTAAATATTTTGTAATTAACTCTAATTATTAATTTTAAATCATAAAAAATATCAAAAGTTAAAAATAAAAAAATCACGTGAACTTTACTTTTATTGAAAATACATAACTATCCATGAAAGTGTATGTGTGTGTGCGCACGCATGTATGCTTGCGCTTGCACACATTAGTATTATGTGGAGGTGGAGATGACAATTTTAACTTATTATTCATTACCCTCTAATTCGTTTATAAATAAATGAATTAGATACTTATATTAATTAATGTGAGTTTTAAATAGATTAGATAATAACATTTATTTTAATTAAGCGAGCTAAAATGAATTACCCGCCCATTAATCCTTAAGGGTGGTCTAGTGGTTAAACTTGACTTTTGATAATTCAGAGATTTTAAATTTAATTTTTTTTCACACCTTCTAAGTGCTAGCCACCATATTTTTTTAAAAACATGCTCTAACTAAGCTTAAGTCATAGTAATTAGTCATTGAATTTGAGACAGTAGTTAACACAACTTTAGACACCTTATAACAAAAAAAAGATTACCCGCCCATTTGCTACCTTTCGATGGAGAGAAAGATAAAGACGAATATGTTGTGTAGTATGCTGGTGTTGTGCTGAACGGATGTATCTTTTTTTTTTATTTTTTAAATTTTTTATGGATAGATTTGATGTCTCAAGAACAAAAAATAGAAAATAATGTTTCAAGATGAAAAGTATAATGGGGCTCATTATAACAATAGACATAATTGGAGGTGATAAATTATGATTAATCCTATTTTATTTTAGCAGTTGACTGTGTTTGCGTGTGAATGAGAAATCTGTCCACTTGCGTGTGTGTGAGTGAGAGAAAAAAATATCTAATATAACGTTAATATCACGTAATCATTTTCGTATGACAGGGGCGGCCATCAAATCTGGAGACGTAGGCAAAAAATATAAAATGAGGCTTTATTAATAGATAATAATTATTAAAATATATTTATTTAAAAATTATTTTTTTAATTTTTTGACATGCAAAAATATTGATTAAATTTTTATATTCAAGTTTTGTTAATATATCTTTTTCAATGGATAATATAGCTAATCCATTTAATATTTCTTGTGACAGTTAATTAGAGATAATATTTTATTAATTTAAATTTTCAAAAAAAAAATTTTGCCGAAGTAACTGTTACCGGTATTGTTAAAAATGTTCTAAAAGGTATATATGCATTTGGAAAAGAATTTAATTTTTTTTATATAATTTAGGGTTTCTGTTGGAGTGCAACTTTCATATTGTAGAACTTTTCTTAATATAGTCTATTCTTGAAATAAATCTAAACCATAAATATCAAAAAAAAATCATGTTTTAAAAAATTTGCAAGGTTAAGACAATAATTTTTTAAACTATCATTAGCTAAGGATTTTAATTTTTTTATAAAAAAATAAAAAACCAAAAATATTTTCATATATTTTGAATTGTTCATGTATATTCTTGATCCAAAAAATAGCTAGATCAACTATAAATAAAAAATACTCAATTCTAAAAGATTCTTCAGCTCAGGACGGCCCAACAAATTTGGAGGCTTTAGGTGAGAATATAAAATGAGGCTTTATTAATAGGCAATAATTACTAAAATATATTCATTTAAAACCTATTTTTCTAGCATTTTGAGATGAAAAAATATTGATTAAACTTTTATATTCAGTTCTGTTATCTTTTTCAATGGATAATATAGCTAATCCAGTTAATATTTCTTGTGACATAGTTGATCGGAGATAATATTTTATTAATTTAAATTTTAAAAAACTTTTTTTTGTCGAAGCTACTGTTACCGATATAGTTAACGATATTCTAAAAGCTATATATACATTTGAAAAAGAATTTAATCGTTTTATATAATTTAGGGTTTCTATTTGAGGGTTAATTTCATATAATAGAACTTTTCTTAATACAGTCAATTCTTGAAATGAATCTAAACCATCAATATCGAAAAATAAATCATGCTTCAAAAAATTTTCAACGTTAAGATAATAATTTTTCAAACTATCATCATCTAAGAATTTTAATTTTTTATAACAAAATAAAAAATCAAAAATATTTTCACATATTTTGAATTGTTCAAATTTATTCTTGATCGAAGAAATAGCTAGATCAACTATAAATAAAAAAATACTCAATTCTAAAAGATTCTTCAGCCGATAGTGTTATTACATTCTCAATTATAGACGAGAGATATATTAAAAGATAGACATTAAGAGAGAGAGAAAAATGTTAAGAGATAGACGTTACTAGTCATATCTATCTTCCTTGTTGCAGAAGTCTATTAGTCTTCTATAGCTGACAAGAAGTTTAGTAGTCTACAATAACTAGCAAGTGGAGCAATTTTCTAGGTAAGTAAAATTTAGACCCTCTCAAATTAGCCCATCAAAAATATAGTTACTCAGAACTAAAACTCCTACCAGGGGGGTGGGGTCCCAAAATTTTGTAAAAATTGGGGACCCTAGGCGGCCAACTAAGTGGCCTAGGCCTAGGGTCGGCACTACTTCGACTGATAGTGTTACTACATTCTCAATTATAGATGAAAGAGATGTTAACAAATAGAGAAATGTTAGGAGATAGACGTTATTAGTCATATCTATCTTCCTTGTTGCAGAAGTTTATCAGTCTTCTACAGCTGGCAAGAAGTTTAGCAATCTACAATAGCTGGCAAGTGGAACAATTTTCTTAATAAGTAAAATTTGGACCCTCTCAAATCAGCTCATCCAAAATATAATTATCTAGAACTAAAACTCTTACCTAGAGGGTGGGGCTCCCAAAATTTTACAAAAATTGGGGGCTCTAGGCGACCAACTAAGCAGCCTAGGCCTAGGGTCGGCCTTGTCGTATGATATCAATATATAAAAATAATTCAATAAGTGAATATAACGAATTCCCATAATTTTATGCATTAATTATTGGATGTGGTGATTATTAGCAATTATTCAAGGGTAATTTTTTATGCACCAAATCAACTGAGACCCACTGATCCAATGATTACAAGTGATTTTGTATAAATTTTGATGTATAATTTTTGTTCACATAGCATTATTCATTATTAAAATAATAGAGTTCATTTGATTATTATTATTATTTTTTTTAAAAAATGCCACTTAACAGTGACGCTAAGGTGTTACTGTTACACTAATGTTTACAAATTACAAGAGAGAGAGAGAGAGATTAGTGCAATGTTTGTGTTTGGTTCAACACACAAAGGTATTTCAGATTAGCTTACGTGCACCTCTACTAATTTCTTTTTTGGTTTAATCAACAAAGATTGTCTATGCCAGGAACTAGGGTATTAATGACAGATAAATCTCTCGTAGTCTAGCCTAAAGAAGTTGTCAAAATTTAAATTTAAGATATCTAAATTTATAATTCGTTTCTATTACCATTTAAACTACAATGTGTTAATGTAGTGTTTGTTTATGTATGTGAATGAGAATATAAGTCGGCAGGAAAAATAAAGGGTGAAATTGCGACATTCATCAGTCCAAATGGGCGGTGCAGTAAAACGAGACTCCAAAGTCCAAATCAGAGATCTTATTGAGTTGGAACTAAGGAGAATTCTCAGCCAAAACAACAACAAACAACAACAATAATTCTCACATGCTATAACTTTTTAGGAGTTTTCTTACAATTTTTTAAATTTTTTATATTTTTTTAATGATTTTTTAAGATCGATTCTAACATTTAAGGTTAATCTTAAAATTATTAGTATTAATCTCAAACACCTCAAAAAATTGTAACTTGAACCCAAAAAATTATATTTTTTAAGATTAATTCTACCATTTTAGAATCAATCATAACTTTATTTGTTGGTATTAAAACTAAAAAATTTATATTTTAATCTACGAAAATTTTAAACTTTGATAGTATAACCCATTTTCGGGAGCTGTTTATGGTACCAAAAAAAAATTTTATATCATACTTTTATTTATCATATTTGTGAATATTTTTATCATAGTTGTGGATATTTTTATCACTGTTGTAATATTGAAAAAAGTGGTTAAAACACCTACAACATGGATAAAAATGCTCATAAATATTGTAAATCATCCACAAAAAATAATAAATTTTCTGTTTATAAAATAATTCATAAAAATTATAAAAAATACTCATTAAAATAATAAATTTTAAAAATACAGTACTGAATTAATTAGAGTCTGGATATTATGACTCTGGAATTCATTCTCATTCTCGTGATACTCATGAGACCATAACTTTTCACACCATAATTCCATCCTAGAGTGTCAAATTTTACCTACTCCCCCGCCAAACCCAACCGATTCATTCAAAGAAGAGTCGCAATTGTCAAGTTTTTACGAGTTTTGAGTGTGTTTAATAAAAAATTTTGATTTTTGCTCAAGTTTGATTTAGTAAAAAAAAATTGGGCATTCAAGTCGAACTTTAATTGAAAACCAAATTTAATAATTTAACAAAAAAATTCAAAATGTAAATGGATAATTGATTTCCTAATCAAAATCACAAAAAAAAAAAAACTATACTTTGAAACATAAAAATGTAATCCTATGAGTTCAAAATTCTCAAAAAACCTTTTAAAGAAAAAGATACATATGGGTGTTCATTCTATACAAATTGGGGTTGGTTCCGGTCTGATTGAAGCAAGTAAATGTTAATCTTTCGAATCATGTTTTTTAACGAAAAAATTGAAATTATTTATACATAATAACAATTTTGAGTCAGGCCACATGAATTTGATTAATTTGAAAAATGACAAAAACCAAAGTCGAACTGTAACTACTTTATCATTTCACATCCATACACATAGAGCTCAAAGCAACCAAGTGGTTTTATGCATTATTTGTGCAACATGTATGGCATAAAGTCTATCCAAGGATAATTGAATATCAATCATTGTATTGATTGATATTGACTAAAAATATGCTTTTTTTTTTTTTTGTGACACAAAATAGATAAGCATGAGTATTCATCCTAGCATGAGTATTCATCCTCCATAGACACCCCACTTAGTAAAGTTGGCTTAACACTTACTTGATTTTCAATGTAAGTTGATCATAAAGCATATTATTCACTTCACAATTTGAATAGTTGGGCGGGGAACAATTCTTACACATACATAGATGATGTAATTCTTTCATCATTACTTTGTCATTATCTCCATTTTCATGGTTTAATTTTATTAGGAGGAGTTGTTTACGGTACCCAAAAAAAAAAATATTGTACCAATATTTATCATATTTGTGAGTATTTTTATAAGTATTTTTTTCACTGTTGTGATACCGAAAAAAAATGATAAAAAGAGTTATCACAAGAGTAGTAAAAACATCTACGACAGTAGTAAAAATACACACAACAATGATAAAAATACATAAAAAAGTAATAAATCACACACAGAAGTGATAATTTTTTTTGTACAAAAAAAAAATTTATAAAAATAGTTACCACAATAGTGATAAAAAACACCTATAAAGTGGTAAACACACCTACAAAAATAATAATTTTTTTATTATAAAAATTATCTACAAAATTAATAAATTTTGATAACATCTTACCAATTTTTTTATTCGATGTTAGGAGGTGTATTATAGTACCAAAATATATTTTTGGATATTATACTATCACTTTTTAATCAATAGAAATATGTCGTGCTTATACTTTTTTATTTTATAATTTTTTATATTTATTAATTTTTTTATCAATGGTTGAAGATCATTTAAATTATAATTAATTATTTAAATTATTTTTAGACATCATGCTTATGTAACACTGAAGCTTACATTACCTCCTATTAAAGACTATCCATCTCTTCTGTGACAAATCTAGTATTGGAGTCACTTCAATCAAGTTCAATTAATCAATCTAATCAGCACTGTCATGTCCCGTGAGAGTTGTTTGCTTCAAGACGTTATCCCCACGTGCTTTGAGTTTGAATTTTGTAAAAACTAAGCCCAGGGTAAAGTTTAATTTGAAAAAAAAAATCGTAAATTTAGATATTTTAAAAATTAATAAAATTTTTAAATTTAATACATACGCGTTGTTAACATGTGATTATAATTATTGGAGTTTTATTCTGTAAGAATAAATTCAATATGATCAAAGATGTTATTCAACATCAAAAAAAAATATCTACCCTTACACTTTCATTGGTCTTCTCGAAAAAGTGTGTGCTGCAAAGGAGTGTATTTAGTAGGAACGACAATGAATTGGAGAAAAACAAGCATTCGTCAAAACCCGTTTTATTTGGATAAAAAATAGATCATATGTATGTATTAAACAGTAAACATATACAGAGATATTCGTATACAGACAAGAAAATTTATATAAACCAGTAAAAGGGTGGATACTGAGGTAAACTGTAACTTATTCACGTCTCGTACCCATCCGCCCCGCCCCGCCCCGCTAAACCCGTCCAAGCATGGCCCCACTCAATTTTTTTTTCTTGATTTCTTCTTTCTTTGCCTCCCTCACTTAAGTGGCCCCCCACCCACCCTCTTTGTCTCTCCCTTTTTTGCCACTAGTGCCCCTCTGTTTTTCGGTCTCTCATGTTACGACCGACACTAAATCCACAACCAACACCCTCATTGCCACCATCTCTCCCTATCAACCACTCACCCAAAACCACCTATCTCAGAAAACCCTATTTCACTCAAAAAAACCTCACCTCCGATGACTGAAGCAACTTGAATTTCTCTTCTCCGGCGAAGAATCCCTAGATCTATCTTAGAGCATGATTTTTTGTTAGATCGGAGTAATTTTATTGCTTTTTTTTTGCTTAAATTTGTTATGGGTTGGCTTTCTTGACATTTTATTATGATTTTTTCATTTTACCTTTGTATATATTACAGATTTAGTCTATTTAGATTCGATCCAAATATATTTGAATATGATATTTTTTACAGATCTGATTTCTGATAGCTTCATTTTTATTTTTATTTTTGCATTTTGCCCTCCATTCTTACTTTGGATTTGGTTATTGCATGGCAATGGTATTATTTTGATTATTGCTTTGGATCTGATTTGTTGGTTGGTTTTTGCTTGAACATTGGGAGTCCTACTGGGGCAAGACAAGGTGGGGAAACGAGTGGCGAAAGCGGGGGTGGAGATTAGAATTTACCCGTAAGGAGGGGACGAGAATTAAAATTTTCCCCATTAATGGGAATGGACCGGGGATGAATAAAAATTTTCAAAGTGGGTACAAGTAGGGATGACAGTGGATCGGGTAAAAATGGGTATTCGTTCAAACTTACCTCTTTTGGACCGGAGATGGATTATATGTATTGAACGATGGACGTATACGAGGATATTCGTATAAACCTGTGCGAAGATGAAGGCAGGAATGGACTGACCCTTACCCCCGCCTCAGTTCCCGTCCCCGTCCCCGTCCTCATTAGCTGTTATATATATATATATAAACTCCTAATTCTTACTGTAATTTTCTGGACATTTTGTAATTCTAGTTGTCGGTGGTAAGACTTGGCTAAAGTATGAGTTTTGATTCTCTGCTGGTTAGTTTCTTGACTCAAAATTTTAATGTTTGTGCTTCCTTGATATCATCTTGTGATCTATTTCTTGTTCATAGTGAGGAATTATTTAAAATGTTAGATTTATTTAGAATTTTGGATTATGTTGACTTAAATTTAAAGTTAGGCATGAACTTGGGCTTATGCTTGGAATTGAGATTGGGATTGGGCGGGTGCGGGTGCGGGAAAACGGGGACGAGGACGAGAATTAGAAATTTATTCACGAATGGGGATGTGGATGAAAATTATACTTGTTAACGGGGGTGAACTAAAGATGAATGAATATTTTTTAAGCGGGTATGAGATGAAGATTACAGCCCCCGTCTCTGCTTCGGTCCATCGACATCTCTAGGTACAAGAGTGGAGACTACATCTCCCACCCCTGCCCCTGTCGATTACCATCCTAAGTATTTAGAATTGGGTAACTTTTATTATCCCTTTGTTTTAAAATGTTCCCTTGAATTTAATTGGCAGTGATTAACACCTTTCGTTAATTTTAGATGTTAATTGACACAATTCAAACATGTGAGATCCAATTAGGAGTGCAACTTGAACGGACCAATCCAAACCTAATTAAAAAAAATTAGTACTTGATTGAGTTTTTTAAAATTTGAGTTGAACTAAGGCCAAAAATCTTAACCCGAATTCAATCCGAGTTGAAACTTTGGGCTCACAAGTTCAATCCGAGTCCAAACCAAATTATTAAAAAATTGGTTTCAGACCCAATTTTTATTTAAGAGTTAAAAAATATGTGTTATTTAAGCATTAAAAAAATACATATACAAAAACCCACAATAAAATATTGAGTCGATTTAGAATTAGCCGAAAATCTTAATTTTTTGGTTTAAGAGGAAAAGCCAATAAGGCCGTTTGAACAGACTTATTGGGCAACTTTTCCATCAAATTTTTGGGCAAAAACAACTTTTATCAATACCAAAGAAAAGTTTAAAAAACAAGTCTATGTAAGGACTTCCAAGGAAATACCTACTTTTTCGGAAACACTCTAAACAGTTTTAAGAGTTTTTTTAACTTTGACTTTTTTATTTTACTTTTCAAACATTTGTTTCGCACCCAAAAAAATCAGCCCCAAACAGACCCATTATCTGTTATTGACAATTGTCAAGGGTGTGCGTGGATGTTCTTCTTGTATTAAATACACAACACAATAATGTAATCCAAATAAATCATTAGGAGAGTAAATTCTTTTTCAGAATTGTATCTGCAGGTATATAAATAAACATTACAGACAGAACCACAAAAGTCTATCTGATTCTATTTTTCTTCTGTTTTTGTATCTCCGATCTCTTCTCATCCAGAATCTATCAATCCCATGTTGTTAATGTGATTCTACAAGTGACAACTCAAAAATGAAGCTGATGCAAAGGCAGCAACTGGTGCAAACTGATCCTAGTGATTTACCTTGCATGTGCTTTTGCTGAGTGATGTCCGATCAGCCTATCCTTGAGTTATCTCTACCGAAGACCAGTGTGGTTGCCCAGTTCACAGCCACATAAAACCTGTTCCTCCAGCTGACAACACGCGTAAGATAAGCAGAGCGCCAAATGAACCAGCTTATGAACCCAGCAAGCGAGACGCCTTTGGCATCCTGTCAGAATGAACATAATAAAATCAGGGGATTCATGTTTAATCAATGTATCAATATTCATGGTACCTTCCTTCCAGAACAAGAAGCTGCCAAACAAAGACCATTTAGCCATAAATCCAAGCAAAGTACTCTTAAATACTTGTTTTGTGAGCTTACCAAGTCATAAGAGTTATTATTGGTCAGGTACTACAAAGTCACTAATTTACAACATAATGAAAATTCTTCTTGGAATTTGAAAACAAACAAAGTGAAACAAGCTGCTATCTGATATATTGTGTGTGGGAATCCAAAGTCGAAAGGAAAACAAAAAGGAAAGAGCCTTAATATGCTATGCATTGGTCCACTGCCTGTAGGCTCAAGATTTAGGTGGTTTGGGGTCCGAACATTATATATCGCGCCTCTTGTAGTGGACTCCATCTCCCAACCTTAGTATCGGAGCTGATGAGTCATGACATGCTGGCATGCCTTAGAAATGGTGATGGACTCTTGATGTTGGAGTCATGTAAACGCAAAATTCACGGTCCAAGCTGTCCCACAGGGATGGCATGCTACACAAGAAGCCATGGGTCTTCTCAAAGAGGACATTATAACAAATTTTCTATCTACTTTTTGTGGTATGTTTTCAAACCTTCTGGTGGGAATAGTGGATTTTTTAGTTTTTCTTAAGCTGTATGAATACTTATAGCCTTAAGGAGTTGGAAAGCGAAAAATAGAAAAAGTTTTGATTTACCTTGGACTGTCGTAGATCAACAAGTGCCTTATACCGCCCTACAGATGCCATGCTTCCGAGATGCTTATAGACAAAAGGGTCTCCAAGAGGGATGTCCTTTGCACTGAAAGCCTTGCCCCCATTCTGCTTCCCAATTTTATTGAACAACTCCACAAGATATTTGCCTTCCCTTTCTGCAACCTGTTTAAAAATTGTTCAAATTTACACACCACTTAGTTCCAATTCTACCAAAGTTATACAGCTAGATGTCTTCCATTCAACTCATCAGATTATGTGTTATCTCAATTAGAATGGAGCACCTAAACAGCTTCAATAGACGTTACATGAAGTGACAGCTGCATTTGATGCTAATACGATTCAAAGCTACAACCTTACTGTTGTTTGCCTCACACTGTTAAGAAAATGAATTCTACATGGTTCTCAAAAGCTACCATCAATTGTGAATGCTGGCCACAAGATCCTCATATTTTGCAGTATGACAGCCATAATGGCATCCTGTAGTATCTGTTTAGCATCTATTTAAATGACATGGGTAAAGCGTCATCGAACACCACTGATGAATTCCTTCTCTCATCTTAATATTCCACTGTATTGACTAAACATGACATGCTTGCTCTGCTAATTTACGAGTCCCTGGTATAAAACCACCTTAAACAACATACAAGTTATTATTTGATTTGCACTCTCACAATTCTTGAGTTGAGGGGCAAGTTTTACCAGAAGATGAAAATTTTTAATGGGGAATTTAAAAGCAGTAATCTCTGCAGCAAATTAAAAGAAAAAATATATTATAATTACAAGAGATCAAGGCATCTGACCTGGGCTAGAGCCGGAAGCACTGGCCTCCCTGTCTGTTCAAGAAAACCAGCACAATCCCCTAGTGCAAATATATCCTCCACAGAAGGAACACGCAACCATTCATCAACACCAATCCTGCAGAACTTGATAGAATTAATTGCAGGGATCCATGACAATGTTTAAGAAAGAATCCATTTTAAAGAGGATACTCGGGGAGAAATGTAGTGGGTTATTTCTATACCTTCCACCAGGAGACTTTGGAAGATTTAGTGCTTTTACAAACTCAGAGGGACCAACCCCTGTGGACCAGACCAAGAGGCCATAAGGAACATCACTTCCATCACTAAGAACAATTTTTTCCTGGTGCACCTCTCTCACAACGCCTCGCACAAGTCTTACACCGCACTGACATAAAGTTCAAATGTTGTTACAATTCAAAAACTATGTGCAATAAGCATTCCCAAGGATTCAGGAAAGAAAATCAAATTACCTTGGTTAAATGTTTTGTGGCATATTGCCGCAGTCCAACATCAAACGATGAAAGGATTTCATTTGCCTGTTCAAAGAACAATATCACAAGACAATTAGTGACATCTTTGTTCATATACCTGTACACATCGGCTGACTTGTATATAAAAGAATAGCAACTGAGTACCTCAATGAGGGTGACTCTAATGTAATTTTTCACATGAGTATACCGCTGACGGACATCTCTTATGATAAAATCGCTCAGTTCACCACTAAACTCTACCCCAGTAGGGCCACCTCCAATAACCACGCAGTGCAACAGCCGCTCCTTTTCTTCTTCTGACACTCCTGTAGTTACAAAGTGAAATCCAATTTTACAACTATATTCACATAAATATATTCAGGATGGAACCATTAGGGTGTCTGTACAGCATCATGATGATAATATATTGCCCCACCCAAAGTGAAATGAATCAATGCTAGTCGGACAAAACAACATCAATTTGTATTCAGATCATGAGTCCAAGAAGATTGAAGGTGTTCAGGTTCCTTCACAAGGATGAATCCCTTACAACAAATTGTATTGATTCATCCTATACAATCATATTCTTTTGAGAGGTGAAAATCCAAAATCTAAATAAGCACCTTAGAGACTTAGACTATCCACTCCTCCATATTCTTCTCTAAACTTGAGAATCCGCAAAGACCTTTTTCCAGATCAGTTCAGGCCAAGACACTCCATGAATACGACTTGCAAGTCTTAAAAGATTTTTCCTAATTAATGTACGCTGGGATCCTATTTGAAATTTGCTTGGTAAACTGGAAGTGTTTTCATAGAAAAAGAATTACAAAAGTCCAAATGAAATAGCCATATTAATCAACTCACACTTTGTTGAAAGCAGAATATTGCACATGTTCCACATATAGTCAAGACAGAATGTTTGAATTCCATGTTAACTGTAATTTAAGGAATGCCATGCAATGGTCATTAAAGAACAGAGGAAAACCACAGGAGAATGCAAAACTATTCCACGTAACCTTTCGTCTGCTTTCATCTACTTCCACATATGATATGCAGATATTCACATTCATATTTTAAATTTTATTGAGTAGAAAACTGAAGGTTTTTATTTAGAAAAAAAAAGATATAAATCACCTGGATTTTCGCAGAGCATCAGGTTCAGGAGAAGCTTCCTCCTTATTTCTTGGGCATGATATACCTCACGAAGAAAAAATGCGTGTTCCTTCACTCCCATTATACCAAAGGTCAATGGCTCAGCTCCAGCAGCAATTACAAGCTTGTCGTATGCAACTTTAAATTTATAGGGTTCATGGGGAAGTCCACCATCGCTAACAGTCTCACAGTACACCTGATTTTGTAAAAGCAACAGTAGTATATTGTCAATAACAATCACTTCAAGATGCATTATGACCACTGTTGATTGTACAAAGGTATTGTAATAGAACAATCTCCTTCAAGCTCTCCATGTATATTTGTATGTCCTTGCTATAAGAGACTAGCTCCATATGCTAGGTCATACAGATCACACACAAAGGTGAAACACAAAAATACTCTTGGTTAGTTTCTATCAACATATGCAGAAATATGCAGATTTTAATTATATCAACCAAAATGTATATGCATATTATGGGAACCGCAAAAATAAATGTGCATATGCCAATGAAGGATGATTAAGATATGAACCAGAATTCTTGGAGTGCTCACCTCATGTTTGTCCTTGTTGATACCAGTGCAGGAGGCCAAGTAGAAGTAGGAATTGGGATCCTTTGACAAAGCAGATTGTATCTGACTGACTGGCTCAGCTACTGATCGGAACTCCAGAGTTCCAACACAAGTTGATGCAAGCAAGGGAGTGAAAACCATGTGATTTCTTGGTGATATGCAAACAACATCATATATTCTGGTGTCGAGACCTTTAAGGAATCTGCAAGCTGCCCATCCAGTTCCAAGGACCACCACCCTTGGTTTTTCCCCTGGCTTGGTGGCTTCCAGACTAGGATACCTCGGGTTTTCATTCTCCGAATCAGACTCCTCCACAATCCTCTGTGCTTGAGCAAATTGATATTGTGGGGTTACACTTATTCCCCTGCTCCTGAAACTAACATGATCTACCTTCCTGATGCTTGAAAGGAATGACATGTTGCCACCAGCTGTAACATTTTGAGGTGAAGCTAAGGGACACTTGTATGCCGATACTCCCTCGCAAAGTATATCCTTATCACTTGTGTAGCTGCCAATGGTGCCTCCTGACCGTCTCAAGCCATTCCTCGCAATCCTTGCCAACGCCATATCGACTATCGAGAGTACCAGTTGCAAGAACCGATACCTTTTGGGGATCTCTTGTTTAAAACAAACACAGCTTCTTTGATATATTTGGAATTTCTAATTAAGAGGGATGCAAAGCAACATATAAGCTAACGTTCTAAAAGTTAACAAAATGCATTGCAGTATCATATAGGAATGACCTAAATGAGTTCTGACAAAAAAAATGGAGGTAAAGACAATAATTTGAACTGTTTGAGCTCTATTCCAGAAGGTATGACTAGTTTATTAAAGCAGGACAACGATGCTTTCCAAGTTTACATAACCAGCAAACAAAATAAGCACAGAATTGCCCATTAGCTGATGGTAGATACAAAGAAAAAACTCTTTGGAAAATGCTAAAATAGATCCCAAATCAAACATGTTGTCCCACAATTAACATCACAACACAAAATTTACAGCCACTTCTTAATTCATGCAGCCTTCGCCGTCCAAGTGCTTTTGGAATTATATGTGACCCAGGTCTGCTTTCCATCTTCTGGTCCCTGTCGCTGGGAGGAGCTGCCAGTACTGCGATTTGCATGCAATGCAACAACAGAGCTAAGACCGGTGGGTTCGCATTATTTTCAGCCCAAGCGTGAGTAAAGGAAAGCATGTAAAATTTAAGGTGTCAATTGAATGAAAAACATGTCATTGTCTTGTTCAAATTTGGTCATTTTGGATTCGTGTCAAATATAATCAATCTTAGCTCAATTTAGTTAAATAATCAACTCAAATGTCTTAATACTAACGCGACATCTTTATTAATAAATAACCCAAAAATTATTGAACCAAAAACCCCATTCAAAGATCCCTATCTCTCCCTCAACCAGATATATCATCCATAAACCCTCATAAATTAAAAATCAACTCGATGTGATAAAAATCCCAACAACAAATCAGAGTGGTACCGCTACCCCTGTTTCCCTCCTCAGAAAATGAAACAAAACTAGAGAGCAGGCCTACATTATACACACGCCGTTAACATGTTACACATGTTGTCATTACCACCTAAATATGCAATTCCTCAGCTCAAACTAGGAACCAACGCACATGATTTACCTGCACTAGAAGTTGGCCGTTCACGTGCTCTGATTTCCTTTCAACCAGAAGTGTGAAAAAAGAGGTAATAAATGGTAGATTTTTATTGATGTTCTATTATTGTATCACAATAAAGTACAATTCTGATTAATAGAATCTCAACGAAAGCTAATATTTAAAAATAACAATTAATAAATATTTATAAATTTTGTTGTTCTATTAGAAAATAATCAAAATTTCTGAAAAATAACAAGAAGGAAGATGATCATAAAAAGAACAAGGAATATCAGACACAGAGTCTCAATCACTCAGAAAATTATCATAATTCTATTTCTAATGCATCGGGTAACTAATGAACTGATTTTCATTTTTGTTAATGTAAGAGATTTATTATTCTATTCAAACATGATACATGTGAAAAATCGAGCACAAATTATAATATATGTAAATATATGATTGAATCTGGCGTTGGAGTGTGTAATGATTCTCAGATCAGAAACTCAAGCAAATGACTTCAAGAACACAACAAACAAACACAAAAAGAAAGAGAATACACTTAGTTCAATCAGGACTAACTAGAGACCCCATGCATGAAGAGAGAGAGAGAGAGAGAGAGAGAGCATTACTTTTTGTTAAAGCTTGCAGAGGAGAAACGTTTTGCTTGTTCTAAGCTCGAAGAAGGTACAAGTACATACTTTCTGGTGATCAATAACCTCTCTGCTCTTTGAATTGTGAGAGAGAGAGAGAGAGAGAGATTTGAAGTAGGAGGAACGTATTAGTTTGCTTTTATATTTGAGGTTTTACAGTTGGCAACTATGGCGGTGCATGACGGAGGAAGAGAAATGGAAAGAGCGCCTTGTTTGTCGCCCTTTTCTGTGCAGTTGTTGCATTCTCTACGGCGTCGTTCTTCCCAGCAAGTTTGGATTTGATAATTCATCTGTAAGATTAAAAGGAAAATTTTTTTTCTATTTTTTTCAAAAAAAATTACTATTTCAAAATATGCACAGTTAAGAGTTGGATTATAGTTATTTAATTATGTTTGGTCATATCTTTTTTTCTTTTTTTTTTAAGTTCAACGTTAGGGACATCTCAACTAATTTATGCGTAATTTGGTTAATTTTCTCCCTAATTAGATCAAAGACAGACCATCTATTTCAGAATTAAGAGTTGTTAAGATTTAAATTTAGGACATCTAGATTTACGGCTCGTCCCTATTACTCTCCGTGGTAACCTTCGATTTGGTGGTTTAATTTGTCCTCTAATAAATCAGAGGTTTTAGGTTCAATTACTTCTCACACTCTTAACCGTTAGTCACACTTGATTCTTTAGGAACATACTTTAACACACCTCAAGTCACCATGGCTAGTCACTGAACTTAAGAGAATAGTCAGCACAAATTTAAACATTCTGTGACAAAAAAAAAAAATTACTCCCCACGGTAATAATATTGAATTTGTCAAAGGATTTCTCCTTTCACCACAAATCCAATTTGGTGTAAGACTAAATTAGTTGAATGCATCAAACAAGAAATTGGATTTGCGGTAAAATGAGAAATACTTTGACAAATTCAATATTATTACCACGACTTTTGCTCAAAAAAAATATATTATTACCACGGAGAGTAATTGATATGACCAAAGACGATTAAATAACTATCAATTGTGTTGAGGGAAGACGATTTCGTGCTAGACCTTTATAAGTTCGTATAAAAAAATATTTCATTCATATTCAATTTATTTATTAATTCGTACTTAATGAATCATGTCATATCCAATTCGTATCGTATGTGAATCTTTTGATTGATTTCACTCATTCCGAATTTATTTATTAATATAATAGTATTTGGTCCACTTGTTTTACGAAGTAGGTTGTTTAAGGAATACTCAAACCCTTTAATTTATTGCCTTATTCGTGTCGTGTTATATTTTAACACTTTTAATAATTATGTAATTAATATTTATAATGAGTATTTTTTAAGTAATAATGAAGTCAAATTGATATGGTATGTAACTTTTTATTTTTATTTTTCAGGCTATTATTATATACATGAAACTTAACCCCATTTGCTTTATTATTGAAAGAATAATGTTATTCATACTTAATCTATTGATCTAATTTAGTAAGTGTTAACTACAAGTATAAATGGCTTAAATAAACTCAAAATCTATTTAATTTATATACTAAGAAAAAAAGAAGTTTAAAATTCACCAATTCTATAAAGATATATACAATATACAATACTTTGTATAGAAATCAACAAAATAAACATTTTTATACAATAATTATTAAACAAGTCTATTAAAGAAAAATAAAATTACTAGTCATTTTTTTTGTTTTTGGATGACATGGAAAATCTTTTTCTTGTTTTCGGCAAGTTAGAGACGATTTAGTTGCTCAGGTTAATGAGTCAGAGAAAAATCGAGGGCAAATGTGAGGATTATTAATCAGTCCCTTAACTCATACACCAGTTAAATTAGAGACTTGCATTTTAGTATGGTTCGAAATCACACGAGAAAATTAAATATAATTTGTTTAAATAACTGAAATTCATTGTACCAATTAATTACATTTTTATTATTCAATAACTTGAACTATTGAATATGGAATTCCTATTATTGTTGAGCTTATTAACGTGTAGAATCAGCAGCATCTGGAAGAAAGATACTTGGAATCTTATAACATGACAGCTTTGAATTGAAAGCGGTATGGGGGGTGGGTGGGGACTTTAATTACGACACCTTTTTTTTAAGGTTTCAACGGTCCAAATTTCTTCCATGTTTCCTTATTTCCTACGATCTAGGAGCCGTCTTTGACAAAGTCTCTTCGTCTTTTTTTCTTGAAAAAATGCCCATTCCCAGCCTGGCACAAGGCCTTGTTTCATGTATGTGTCACGACTCACAACAATTCTTTATTTCCTGGTATCTTCCCACAAAGTTGTCTATAATTGAAAGAAACATTGAATGTAACAGTTACATTATTGTCACGATTTCACATCGATTGTCAATTAAAAAGGTATCACATGATTTTATAACATTTTAGATGATTTTTATTTTATTAATTTTTTATTTATTTGTTATAGCGTGGTCAAGTTTGTATTGACTAATTCTCGAGTTCAACGGTTAGTCATTATAATTTGAGATAGGTTAGAGAATATTTTTAAAGAGGTAAAGGTGGTCAACCCTTAGGGGGTATATGAATAAATTGAACCTGAGACTTTTAAATTATCAAATATCAAAGTCAACCACTAGACTATCTTAACAATTTAAATTTTTGGGTTGCAATATTGTGACAAAATAATACCACAATGGGATTCAATGAGTCACAACCCTATTTTAGTCATGCATGGGAGTGTCTATGGGTCAGATTGTCCACGGGTTTCGTTATTCGATTCTAAAAAATAAGTCTAAAATTCGATGGACTTGATAGTTAGCCCCCAAAAGCTTGAACCCAATATCATTTAAGAGAGGATTTGAGTCTACCCCAAACCCATTACCTAACCCGAAAGTCGTCCCAATAACTCACCCATAAAAAGCCCGTTAAAACCTGCCCATAGAATCCGCCCGCCAACCCATCCCAGCCCGAACAACCCGCCCACATTCATTTGAGACACATTAAATTTGAAAAAGATAAATAGGTGGATAGGTGACAATCTAATTGTGATGTGTTTATTCTATTGTGATATAATTTCTCTCCCATTTAAAAATAAATTTATTTATTATTTATTTTTTGTCAATTTTGACTCTACTTTTAATTCAAAATTATAGTTTACAAAAATATTAAGTTATAAGAATATTCATTATTTCTAAATAAAATTGTATATAAAAAGTCCGTCCAATAGATTCACTCACAGACCCACCCAATAGACCCATAGCCGCACACCAACATGCCTACCCAATGAGTGATAGGTTAGACTGTGGGTAATCTAACCCTACCTGAAGCCTTGTGCAGTTCACCTGATAACTTTTTTCGGTAAGGACTTGAGCCTCTATTACCTAGGCCCAACTCAAAATAAATTTTACGGGCTGAGCCCAAGTGGCCCATAGACACCCCTAGTCATGTGGGTCCCTCTTTAAGTATATAGGGTTGAGGTAGACTCGAGTCAAGAACCTACTAACTAGAATGTCACAAATCTCACATCGTTTGGATAGAGAGTGTCATAAAAACTTATAAGATCTTGAATAATTCTTCGCTTAATAGCTTTAATTTTTGGGTTGTGAGCCAGTGGCACTACATTATATAATATTAGTAATTAATAAGAAATAAAATAGAATAAATAAATCTCATATAATAATTATTGATTATGGGAATTATTAATGGTTATAGATTTGGTGGGATCAATTAGTTATACATGTTTATTTATAATTAGTTAGCAGCTCTATGTGACTATAATCACGTAATGTCCCGATTAAATTAAATATTTTCTCCTAATTTTGATCATATGGGTTAGCATTTTGGTAATCCATCTATGGATCACAATGCCAGCCCGGTTCATAATAATATTTTTTATTCCAATTGTAACTTGTAAGTGATATTTGAATTTGTGAGTTTTATAATTTTATTGAATTAGATGTTTAATTTAAAATGGTAAATTAAAAGGAGCAATTATGGTCCATTTTAAGCCCAACAAAGGTGGTCTGCAGTGTAACCGAGTAAAGGCCCACCAGACTAATCTAGTCACTTTCTATCGACCCAACCCATTGGCAAATCCTTATTTTTTTTTTAGTAAAAATTTGGGTTGAATCATTTTTAACAAACTTATAATGACTTTAATTTGTCAAGGAAAGTTATTCGTTAGGAAGCATTGCCCCTCAGCACTATACAACTATATGTAGGGGACCCCATTGCACCTACATCGAAGCAGAAGTTAAGGTTCCACCACTTGCTCTGATCGCTGTAGAGTAAATTTAACTCCAACAAGTGGTCGTAACTATAAAGATTCAAACTAAAATATTGAGAGAAAAAATTCGAGTTCTTATCCATTGAATCAATCTCTCGTTGGTAGCAATCGTTACATGACAACACAAAATGTTGCAAGATCGTGACAAAAAGGCCAAGGGAGATAATCTCAAAATACAACACATTTTAGATATCTAGTTCTTCGTTGTTGAGATGTTTCACAATTACATAGTTTGTGATTTATGTGAGTCGTGTTGAGAGGAGTTAAATAGGTGCAAATCGAATATCGACATTATTTGGACAAAATGATTGTCATTGTATCCGAACTTACATCTTCACCTACAATTCTTAATGTAAATGCTAGCAAAATTTGAATGCGATATTTACAAGTAAAAACATGGCCACTTAACCACAACCCTCGAGAAGCTCGGGCAATCTATTCTAGGTTGTAGGAGGCATAGATTTTATTGTAACTAGTTTGCATTGAGGGGTAAGGTTTTATTATGTCCTCCGCTGGCTAGGTGTCATCATTTGTTTCATTTTAATATAATTCACCCTCGTATCATTGAGGTTTTTAAATTGTCATCCATTTGGGCCTGCAGTTTGGTGCATTTATGGGTTGCAAGGTCGCTGAAGGGCAAACTTGGCCCATAACACACCGATTGGGCTTTTAGCTTCCTTCTCAGAGTTTGGATCAACTAAAATTTGGATGGCTCTGGTTCTGTAGTTCGATACACTAGGTTAGTTGCCTATACGATATATCATCTCAAGTTTACAGTAAAGTCAACTTTGGCAATCGCTATACCCTCTTTTGCCATCAGTGTTGGGCAAATCACCTCAAAGTACTCTCTCTCTCTCTCTCTCTCTCTCTTGTACACCCACCCACCTACCCACCCATTTATAGATCACAAATTACCGAATAAAAGTCACTGTAATGAGGATTGATAT